ATACAGTCAGCTTTGACAAAGAAATTTATGAAAATAGTACAAACTGCAAAGACAAAATTTTAAAACTGTTCAAAATTGTCAGAGAAACTGACAAAAAAAAAAACACAAAAAAAAAAAAAAACATTCACAGGAGAGCGAGTAATTTTGTCTTCACTATTTACCAAAATAGTGTTTATGAGTTATGCAACTCTTCTCAAGTGTTTTGTAAATGGGTTCATTTTTAAAGGCTTTCAGAACCATGTACTTTACGCCATCTAGTGGTGAAAATGGTTAATAACTATATCTACTCAAGATTGTTTTGCCTTTAATTTGACTTCTAATATTAACAGTATAATTAGGAGCAATGCAAGATGCTTCAGTTTTTTTTTTTTTTGTCTGTAAAACATGTAAATCCAACAGTTTAAAAACAAAAGAGTACCTGAGGATAATTAAACATGTTTGTTTTTTTTGTTTTTTTTATGAAACTGTCAATCGTTTTTTGGCGTATTGACTTTTTTTGTAGAACCAGTTTTACTACAAATAATTATTAATTTTGTGACGTCAACATGCCAAAAATCATGGTTAATGCATTTTTACTTTACAGTAAAAATGCTAAATTAACCAGTTAAATTATACAAATGATGCAATGGGTTGGAGGAGAAACAGTTACAGAGACTCAGTATTACTTCTAGACGGTAGCTGCAATAAACTGTCCAATTCAGCGTTAAGGCATAGTTCAACCTAAAATGAAAATTCTGTCACCCTTTACCCCTTTATTTGTTTTTAACCAGTTTGAGTTTCTGATTTTTGTTGAACACAAAATAAGATATTGTGAAGAAAGTTTAAAACTACTGACTTGCATACCAGGGAAACAACTACTATGGAAGTCAATGGTTACCGGTTTCCAGCTTTCATCTAAATATCTTCTTTTGTGCTCAACAGAAGAAACTCAAAGGTTTGATACCACTTGAAGGTGAGTGAAATGTATATTTTTGGGTGAACTATCCCTTTAATTGAGCTCAGTGATGCACAAAAAATACTTTTTAAAAAGGAAGAGCTACTTGACGTCTCCCTAAATCTAAATATTCTGTTTAACTTTATAAATTATAACTGCACATTTAATAAAAATGATAAATATTTATTCTTTTTTTATATAGCTAGGATCAACTAAATAAGAGGTAAAAAGCATTTTAAGTATTGTACCTCTACCAAATGAGTTCTTTTAATTGTGCAGTTTTTCAAAAGTACTTTCTGTAGGGTTTAACAAAATGAAGATCTCTATTAGTTTGACCATTTAAACATGTCATAACAGTCTTGAGAAAAGGGTGCATTCGACTAAAACAAAGCATACTACACAAAACCACAATGGAAGTAGGCCTTTCATGATATCCATTTGTATTGTCTGATAGATTGCAACTAAAAATATTGCGATAAATGATATTATGGTCATTTTATGACCATTCAATGCCACTCATTATACAGGGTGGGTCATTTATATGGACACACCTTCATAAACATATTGAGAATTTCACAAGAAAAAAAGATGGTGTGCTTGGTTTTAATGTACCTTTATTCTTTCATAAGATATTTTCAAGCCCCCTTACATATACTAATGTGCCACAAACAGGACGTTAAAACCACCAACCACTCCCATTTTATAGAGGTGTATCAATAAAAATGGCCCACCCTGTAGATTGCCAGTATGACAATCTAATAGCATCATAATGCAAGTACACTCTTCATTTAATTATAGTCATTTTAATAAATGAATAATTAGGCGTTAGAATCAGAATGCGAAACCGCATACCCCAAATAAATCATAATAAACGTTATCAAAAATGTGCAAGGTAACAGAGGCTGCTACCAGATCTATTTTCAGTAGTCAGGCACCCACATGAAAATATACTATAGTAAATGCTACAGTGTTTTTTTAACCAGATGTTGCACAGCAAAAATGTTACTGGAATTGTTTTGTTTTTTTTATTGTATGGGCAATATTGCATAACCAAAAATTATTGCGCTTATGTGTGATGTGCGATAAGTCGATCTATTGATTAATGTGACATGTCCATGTACATTTTTATACTGAATATATTCAGAAATTTATCTTACAAAACTGCTAATCTCAAAAGTCCAAGTAACTTACACACAGAAAACAATTTACTCTCTATTAAGTAAAATCAGACTCAAAACTAACCCAAAACTAGACCCAAATTCAGCATTTCTAAGCTTTTTTATACCAGTAAAACATCTAAAATTAACAAACAAATGTTAACACAGAAATTATCTTATCACCTAATCACAACAAGTATCTTATTACCTCACAAATACGCCAATATCATCAATATATATCCATATTCACCAATACATCATTAATAAACGAGACAAAAGGTCAGCACACCTGACACCACCTCAAATAATATTACATATAAGATGAATTACATTGTGAAGATGTAAAAGTGTACCAGAGTAAATGTAAACTTGGCTTGTTGCACTCTGTATTTACTCCAGCAATGTTAACAGTTAGCCTACTAAGTTAACCTCTAGCTAATTACACCAAAGCAATCAGACCAAACACCAGCAGAAAAAAACAGCCAAATTAAGGTAAACTCTGCGGTCCTACCTGTAATGTGGTTGTCCTCCTTCCAGTGTTGTTAATCCTTATGAACTGAAGCATGCTCCATTGTTTGTACAATCCTGCGTTCGCTTTTGTGAATAAACAAACAACGGCAGATATCCTCGTAACGTTAGTCAGACGTGGACTTTTTACAGGCGGTTATTTAACGGTATTAACGCACCATCACTCATTTAAATCTGGCGCGCTTGTGAGGCCTTTGATGTTAGCGCGTCGAACTTGTCATGCACTGAGGAGAAAGAGCACAGCCCCAGTTCTCGCGTTGTTGTCAACGGCGCGCTATATTCGGGTAATGAAATGCAACCTCTCAGACAATTTCTGTTACATTAACATCGTGTGCATATGCTGTTGTTAATTTATAGATTTGATTTTCATGTCAATAAAAAAAAAAAAAAATGTTTTTGCATAATTTGTTCCCCAGAGCCCTCTTTACTACAGAGGACAAAACCTGCAAACACAATCAATCAGTCAATCAATAAATAAACAAATAAATAAATACGCAAATTGATTAATGATTAAGTAAATAAATCCAATCATTCCTGCATATATAAAACAATAAAAAATATGCAAATTGATAAATAAATGAGTAAAAGAATCCAAAATTCCAGCATAGATAAAAAAATAAATAAACAAAGAAAACATTAAATAAAAAAAAATATGCAACCTCATAAATAAATTAGTAAATAAAAAATAAAAAAATTCCAGCAAAAATAAAACAATGAATAAATAAATAAATCTGCAAAGTTAGAAATAAATGAGTAAATAAATCCAAAATTCCCTGCATGAATGAAACAATAAAAAAATATGCTAATTGATAAATGAGTAAATAAATCCAAAAATGCCTGCATGAATAAAACAATAAATAATTAAATATGAAAAATTGATAAATGAGTAGATAAATCTAAAAATTTCTGCATAAATAAAACAATAAAAAATAAATATGCAAATTGATAAATAAATGTGCAAATCAACCCACAAATTTCTGCATAAATAAAATGATGAAATAAATGAATAAATAAATATGCCAATTGATAAATAAATGAGTAAATAAATCCCAAATTCCTGCATAAATAAAACAATGAATAAAAAAATAAACAAATAAATAAAAATCCAAAAACTTCCATCATAAATACATAAATAAATAATTAATAGTGTGGGCAGGTAAATAAATATATAATTTACACAAATGTTGGGGGAATAAGAAAATGCTGAACTGGAAGTAGATTTGTTTCTACTCTATCAATCAACAGAGGGCAGTCTTTATGCCATCACTGGTTGATCTTAGAAAAAAAAAATTGCATTTGATTTTTTCTGACTGGCTTCTGTTGTGAATTATTAGTCACCTTCTCATTAGCATGTTGAGCTAAAGAGAATTATTGTTTTATTTATGGAAGAATTTATGGATTAATTTACTCATTTATTTGCATAATTATTTATCTATGTATTGCTTTTGAATGTGGGTAGCGATGTCGCCTCACAGCAAGAAGATTGCTGGTTTGAGCCCCGGCTGGGTCAGTTGGCATTTCTGTTTGCATGTTCTCTCCGTGTTGGTGTGGGTTTCCTCTGGGTGTTCCAGTTTCCCAGTTTTCCAGTTATATATATATATAAACACTGAATTTATTATTTTTTGTGTGCCACCCAAAGATTTAGTGTGGCCTCTTCTGGCCACCCCTAGTAAAATTTTCTGGGTGTTTATATATATATATATATATATATATATATATATATATATATATATATATATATATATATATATATATATATATAAAATAAGTTTTAGGTTATTTTTCACACTTGCTTGCTGTCAGCGACCATCGGGGAGGACAGTGGCGGTTTTAGTTTAAATGACACCCTGGGCGAACCACTCCACACCCTTAAATTGTTAATTTATTTTTCAATAAATATAACTATTTATATTTATTTGAAATAAATACTATTATTATTCTAAATAAATAACAGAAATCAATCCTAAATGTTCACACAAAGTAACAACTGGATTTATATGCCAAGATCACTTAAGAAACCTTTTGCATGAATATTATGACAATTCTAAAGAATACAAAAAAAAAAAAATATATATATATATATATATATATATATATATATATATATATATATATATATATATATATAATTTATAGAACTATCTGTTGTCTTAGACCCGACTTATGGCCGATAATTATGTAGTCTTACCTCCCTAACTCTTTATCCCTCCTTTCTGCTTTATAGCCATGCTTAGTGAAAGTAACATCATCATCATATTATATAAACTTTAGTTTAGTCGACTTGCAAAACTCGCTGAATGCTGACACCTCTGCACAAAAGGCTGTTACTCTGGTTTCATATTGGAAATATGGGAAAGGAGCATATAGGAGACAAAAATACTGGCTGTAGATCAGTTTATTTCAGTTAATGTTCTGTTATCGTAATTTTCTTAGATTAATTTGGATCAACCCTTAGCTGTGCCTCAAATAAATAAACCAGAGTTAATCTGCCGAGAGACAGATGATGCTATTCTCCAGAGCTGCTGCTCACAGAATCACATTCAACAAGTCATTTATACATGCAAATCATATGAGACCAAAGGCCACCAGGTATAAAAAGAGTATTTCAAATATACTTATCACATCTAAACAATCTTACATAATAATGTTATACATTGATGTTAAAAGAAGCATATTGGGTCATGATAAATGAAATGAAACGGATATATTTGACTTTTTAATCTTAAACAGTTTAACTCAAAAACTTTTTAAAGAATAAAGCCTAAAATAAAAGTAAAGAAACCGTCAACATGAGTAAACACACCAACAATCTTCCGTCTTTTCTCATCTAGTTAGTGCAGATGAAGTTGAGTCTGTGAGATTCAGGAAGGCTGATCCAGGTCTGATCTCCTCCAGACTGAACTGCTCCTTTTCTGTTCTCCAGTTTGCAGTTTTCCGGTGTGCTGCCGTTCCCTGGAGCCCAGTTCTGATAGCACACCATGTCTCCAGTCAGCCAGAGCCACATGTTCATGCTGCAGTAGTGGTGTAAACCCAACCACACCGCCTCAGTAGACGCCAGTTTAACCACGTTCATCACACGACGCTGCATCTCCACTGACTGAACCGAGACCAGATCCACATGATTCTGTCTGCAGTATCTCAGAGCTTCAGACCACGACAGATTCTGCTGGATCACAATCAGTTTATCTGGACACAAAACAAAGCAGAAACTAGAGAGAGACTGATCAACAACAACATGCAGAACAAACACTGTGGAGGAATTTGACATGTCAGACATGTAGAGTCTTAAAGCCCAGGACACACCTTGCCAATGTCAAAGAAAAGTCTGGGACAAAAACTTAATTTGTTTTCACCTAAGGTCGGCTGCATATAGTTCCGTCTAAACCAAAAAGCTGCACATGAACACACCACATAGACAACAGCTTACTGATAGTAAACCCCAATCTCAATTCTATTTTTGTACCCCTTCCCCTTCCCCTTGCAACTGAGGGTTAAGGGGAATTCTTCAAAATGTACAAAGAGGAATTGGGACAGCACTACAGCACCTGCACACGTCATCATATGTCCTCGCAATCTTTTGCTTCATGTGAGATCAGACGATGGCGGCTGCTGTAGTGATTCCAGTTGTGTTTTTTTTTGGTAATCATCTTCAGGAAATCACTGAAGGCATATATCATGTTATCATAACGATATAATGTGGCAATAAGATCATAATTGTATTGTGTATTTAACACAGTCGCCATATTCATCAATGTAAACACTAGAGCTGTGAACCTACACTAGTCTCACGGTTCGGTTCGGTTACGATTATCATGCCATCGATTCGGTTCAATTCGATATTTCGGTGCATCACGGTGCATTGACGATGCTTTCCATACACAGTTTTATATTTTCTTCACAGCAGCAGTTCTTGTATTAAAATGTATGAATTTATTTATATATTATTTGTAATACAATTTTGTCGTTTAATACAAACAGTCAGAGATATAAACTGTAATTTTAAACGAAATGAGCATTTAGCAAATAATATAAACAAATATAAACATCCAGCTCAATTTCTGATCCTTGTCTAGTTCTCTTACACCTCTTTGATTGGTCACACCCTCAACAAAAACGGTTGCGATTGGCTCTCGCGCTGCGCTCTTCAGATAAGTGACACTGATAAGCGGCAGGCGGCAGCGGCAATCTCACAGCTGATGTATGATAGACACGGTGGAGAAAACTCTGCAGACACGCGCTCGTTTCTGTATCCAAAAGTAATGCTGTAAAACAGCCGAGAGGAGAAGAAAAGCCACCCCAGCAGGACAAATGGGCCACTGTGTGTGTGTGTGTGTGTGTGAGAAAGAGAGAGAGACAGAGCGAAAGCGAGAGAGAGAGAGAGAGAGAGAAATGGAGTAGGCTACTTTCATTCTCTCGATCTCAGTGAAATAGGGGCTATTGTTGTATATGTCAGTGAAAGACTGATCCAGCAAACACAGTGAAATTGTGCACAGTTTATGAGTTTTAAGTAGTTAAAGCGTTGTAAATACTCGCGATTGCCTCCCTCGCGACAGAGCGCATATGAGGTAAATGACATCAGTAATAACCGGTTATGATTATTACTGAACCGATACCGAATTGTCCGCATCTGCATCGCGGTGCACCGAAGAAACAATTAATTTTGACACCCCTAGTAAACACACCAAAAACAATATTAACATTAAAGCAGACACTGTAAAAAGCTCATTCCCAGCCACTAGACTTTTCTGACAGGGTATTCCAGTGTCATCGAGTGTCAGAATGTTGTGGGACTCCTGAACAGGAGTTGTTATTAGGGATTATTTTTTCACATGACAGTAAAACATGAACGTGGTTATGAATATATTAAAACATGAGTTTGTTTGTTGTAAAAGTTTGTAATAATGACAAAAATTACTAATTTGTGGATCTCCTGACTTCCGGGTGCAGCTGTGGCTGGTGTATTCTGGGATATTTTTCTTACCCCTTGGTTTTGAGTGTAGTCCTGAAAAATCTTTGTTTGAGAGGGTGTATACGCCTTGCCCTTAGCCCTACGCCTTTAGGCTAAAGAGAATTGCGACACCACTGGGTTTTACGCAGTGGATGCCCTTTCAGCTGCAACTCAACACTGGGAAACACCCATACACACTCTTACACACACATACACCATGGTCAATTTAGCTTTTACCTATAACGCATGTGTTTGGACTGTGGGGGAAACCAGAGCACCTGGAGTAAATCCACACCAACACGGGGAGAACATGCAAACTCCACTCAGAATTGCCAAATGACCCAGCCAAGGCTTGAAGCAGTGACCTTCTTGCTGTTAGGCGTTAAATCCACCCGCCCACAAATATATTAAACAAAGTAACTTTTTCATACCATTACATACATAATAGTAAAACTGACCATTGTCGTGTGATTTGCATTGGGTCCTGCAGGAGCCCAAACCCAATATAGTTCTTGAGAACACTGCTGATGGCCCGCTGTTATGGGGAATTGTGTTGTGTTGTGTCTTAATGAATTTCTGATGAATGTATGAATCTCGTTCATATGCTTATTTGAGTGATTTCAGTATTATTATTATTATTATTATTATTATTATCTATTGTTTTATTACTCATACCTCTGGCATTATTATCAAGTGCTTTGGTAAATAAAAAAGTCATCCTGTGCAAATGCAGTTAGAGATGAGAAGAGAAATTAGAAGAGCTGGATGAAATGTCACAAAAAGAGTAGATTTATGAAATCAAGGCCATAAGGGAACCTGTATTCTGTAACTCATGATAAGGCACACCTGCACATATGCAGACACTCATTTGTAATGACTTCCAAATAATATGAGCACCTGTGAACTTCAGCTGAACTTACAGTTGATAGCTCAGTGGACATTGAACAGGTTATATTGTTGAGCATTGTTTTTTGGCATCACATTTGAAACAGGAAGGAAAAACCTTAACTGGACATGGGTAGGACCACTAAGAACCCTGAGACTATTAGTGGTGGGCATCTGAGAGATTCAAATCCCATTAGTGGAGGAGCTGATGGAGGTGTTAATGTGTAAATTTGGGTGGAGTATTGAGATAAAATAATGTATTTAAACTATGCTGTCCTATACTCATCAGGCACTCGAACGACCTGTCTCTGTTGTTACTGATGCTCAGGGTCAGACGGAATCTGCGGACGTTTTTTGCTATTTCTGCAGAGAATTTTGGTAAAAATCTGCGGATTTCTGCAGAATTATTTTGGGAGTATCTAGCGGAGTATCAGAACTAAAACCTTAATAAATGAAATAAAAAGAAATAAATTACTGAATAGAAACTGAATAAATTCAAATATACACATTTACTCAAGTGAATAAACAGAATAATGATGGGCTAAAAATCTGCAGAAATATGTGAAATTCTGCGGAATTATGCGCGTGCAGATTCCGTGTGGGCCTGCTGATGCTGTAACAATAAACTGCTTTGCCTAAAGACTTCGGAGATCTCAGATTTTGTCTTAGAAACTTAAAAATGTTTTGCAGACCAGAATCTTTTTTCCACAACAGCTGCTACCCAACAGCCAACTCAACCCAACTTGGTGTGTGGAGCTGATGATGGATTGAGTGTTTGGTAGTGATGGGTCGTTCATGAACGATTCGTTCATTTTAAACTTCAATATGACTTGGGAACTACGAGTCCTCTCAGGGAGTGATTCGTTCATCTGCGCGTGCGCACATTTGTGCAGGTAGTATCGTTAATTTCAAGTCTTCATCACATTGGCAGAAGCCAATCATATGCATTTAGAGCCGGAAAAAGAATTGATTGGTTCATCTCTCGAGTCCTCTATCGGGTCTGAGTCACTCGTTCATCACGGGCCAATCATACGCGTTTAGAGCCGGAAAAAGAATTGATTCGTTCATCTCTCGAGTCCTCTATCGGGTCTGAGTCACTCGTTCATCACGGGTCAATCATACGCGTTTAGAGCCGGAAAAATATTTGATCCGCTCATCTCTCGAGTCCTCGGGTTTGAGTCATTCTGTCACGTGATGAACGAACAATCATGGCTCCTATCAGCAGACTGTGCATTAGCTAAGATTATATGTGACTGTCAGTGTAACGTGAATGAACCCCTGACATTTAAAGACATGAAGAGGTGAGCTGAGCAAAGAGACAACAACACCTTCATTGACAAAAGAGCAGGTAAACATTGAATTATTATTTTCTCCTTCTTATAGTATTCTACTTTTGACTTATTTGTCGTGCAATTAACCTTTTGGGCTAGTTGTAGATGTGTTTGGAAGCAATTCGTAACATTTTAATAATATTTTGGCAAATTGAACCAAATGAACGAAGTCTATTGAAAAAAGATTTGTTCATTTTGATGAACGAGATCTTAAGATTCGAGTCAGTAAAATGATCCGAACTTCCCATCACTAGTGTTAGGAGGGTCTGCTTACCTTCATGACACACAAAAGGCATCTTCCAGTAACAAGGGTAGTCTGCCCATCTTCCCTGAGCATTTTCTTCAATCACGGTACAGTTTTCAATTCCTCCATAATTATCAGGTTCAGTAGTTTTCCAGTATCTGAATGAGGAGTTGCTCTGATCTGACCACTGCCATGGGTCTCTGAACAGACCTATCCAGATTGCACCTCCAGATAATTGTCTGTCATTAATGAACTGCTCCAGCTGTTGACTCTCATTCTGGTTCCTCACAATGACCAGATCAGTGTGATTCTGTCTGCAGTAACTCTGAGCGGCTCTCCAGTTCACTGTCTGATTGACAAACACCAGTCCTCTGCTCACTTTGAGAAAATAAAATGGAAACATTGGTTTTCAATTAGTTTTTTTTTATTATTCTTCTGCTTTATGGTATGAATATGAACAGAATTTGAAGTTGAAGCATAATACATGTTTGTATTACCAAAAACATTAATCTGTATCTAAGTAGTACTAAAAGATTTAAGGTCTCTAAACAACTGACTTTAAGAACAATTTAATTTCTCTTTATTCTTTCATTTATTTTATTTTCGGCTTAGTCCATTTATTAATTCGGGGTTGCCACAGCGGAATGAACCGCCAACTTATTTAACACATGTTTTGCACAGCAGATGCCTTTCCAGCTGGAACCCATCTCTGGGAAACATCCATACACCCTCATCACACACATACACTATAGACAATTTAGCATACACAATTCACCTATAGCGCATGAAACCAAAGCCAGCACGGGGAGAACATGCAAACTCTAGACAAAAACACCAACTGACCCACCCGAGGCTCAAACCAGCGACCTTGTTGCTGTAAGGCGATCATTCTACCCACTGCTCCACCTTGACGCCTAATTTCTCTTTATCTTCTAATGTAAATGTCTTTGCTGTAAAATTAGCAAGTTTGACTCTTAACAATGTAAGGTTTTGTTTTTTACTTATAATAAAGTAGAATGATTAATATAGCTGTGAACCTACACTAGTCTCACGGTTTGGTTCGGTTACGATTATCATGCCATCGATTCGGTTCAATTCGATATTTCAGTGCATCACGGTGCATTGACGATTCTTTCCATACACAGTTTTATATTTTCTTCACAGCAGCAGTTCTTGTATTAAAATGTATGAATATATTTATATTTATATATTATTTGTAATACAATTTTGTCATTTAATACAAACAGTCAGATATATAAACTGTAACTTTAAACAAAAAGAGCATTTAGCAAATAATATAAACAAATATAAACATCCAGCTCAATTTCTGATCCTTGTCTAGTTCTCTTACACCCCTTTGATTGGTCACACCCTCAACAAAAATGGTTGCGATTGGCTCTTGCGCGCTGCGCTCTTCACATATGAGTGACACTGATAAGCGGCAGGCAGCAGGCGGCGATCTCACAGCTGATGCATGATAGACACGGTGGAGAAAACTCTGCAGACACGCGCTCGTTTCTGTATCCAAAAGTAATGCTGTAAAACAGCCGAGAGGAGAAGAAAAGCCACCCCAGCAGGTCAAATGGGCCATTGTGTGTGTGTGAGAAAGAGAGAGAGAGAGAAATGGAGTAGGCTACTTTTATTCTCTCGATCTCAGTGAAATAGGGGCTATTGTAGTATATGTCAGTGAAAGACTGATCCAGCAAACACACACAGTCAAATTGTGCACAGTTTATGAGTTTTAAGTAGTTAGAGCGTTGTAAATACTCGCGATCGCGATGATGTCAGTAATAACCGGTTATGATTATTACTGAACCGATACCGAATTGTCCGTGTCTGCATCGCAGTGCACCGAAGAAACGATTAATTTTGACACCCCTAATGGTTAATACCGTCACATTTTAATTCCAATTAAAAGCTTAATTTCATGTCAATTTTTTTTATTTAGATGTTTGTACTCACTGTTGTAACAGATGAAGGGTGAGATGGCACTACATGGCCCAACAATCCACTGTCCATTTGTCATATAAGTACAATTATCACTGCCAACTGGTTGTCCAGATGCCCAGTTCAGAAAGAGCGCAGGATCACCTGAAGACCAATGCCATTTATAAACACTCGTCCTCTGAAGACCAATCCAGACACGTTCATCATTCACACTCTTGTTCAGCTGGATCATGTTGTTCATGTTGTCAACAGTGGCCAGATCTGTGTAATTCTCTCTGCAGTATCTCTGAGCTTCAGTCAAGTTCTTCTTCTCATTTATAAAGTGATACTGACGCTGAACACATTCAGATATGGAGCAGAGAGCTGTGAAAGAGACACTTTGCTTTAATGCTTTTCAGAACAGAGTCAAACCTAATGAAACTATAAACCATCAATAAAACTACAAACACACTCACCAATGAGGAGGAGGATGTATTGAGCTTGACTCATTTCTGAGGAAGAGAAATATAGATAAACAATCAGATTGTTTCTGGAGTTAGACATTTGAGAGCAGTAAAATAGAAGCAATAATGCAGTGTACAAATCACTAAGAATATAAACAAAATTGTCAGAACGTGTGTGAATAATGTAGACGTGAATTGTTCTTACCTCAAGAGGTTTTAAGTTTCTGTCCTCAGTCTGATGTTTCTGTCTGCAGCTTCAGACTGTGATTATTTTATATCTGCACTCATTTGTCATTCAGCTCATTACATCATTTGCTTATTGCTCTAAACAAAGGCCTTTTTCATTGTCATTATTTACACATGCACCTGCGTGTTTCTCTGTGTCAGTCTTTGTTCCTGTACTTCTTTGGAAGTGTGTTCATTTGAATGTGCTAGAGAGCTGAGAGAGCGTGTCTAATATAATCAAATCAAATATATATTTCCATAGTGCCTTTAAAGGATGACTCAGGATGAGGTTTTTCACCCTTCAGCTGCGGTCACACTAGAGTTTGACCTTGTGAAATTCTGTCATAAGGCGCTGTGAAAAGGGCCTGGATTAAACAAGATGGTTAGAGATTAACAAAAGCAAGTGATTGTTCATATTTTGCTAGCTCTCTGCAACTCTCACATGGTCCCCCACTGAAGCTAAGCAGGGCTGCGCCTGGTCTGTACCTAGAGGGGAGACCACATGGAAAAGCTAGGTTGCTGCCGGAAGTGGTGTTAGTGAGGCCAGCAGGGGGCGCTCAACCTGCGCTCTGTGTGGGTCCTAATGCCCCAGTATAGTGACGGAGACTCTATACTGTTCAGTGAGCGCCGTCTTTTGGATGAGACGTTAAACCGAGGTCCGACTCTCTGTGGTTGTTAAAAATCCCAGGATGTACTTCAAAAAAGAGTAGGGGTTTCACCCCGGCATCCTGGCCAAATCTGCCCACTGGCCTCTGTCCATCATGGCCTCCTAACCCTCCCCTATCATAATTGGCTGGTGTGTGGTCTGGCGCAAAATGGCTGCCATCGCGTCATCCAGGTGGATGCTGCACACTGGTGGTGGATGAGGAGATTCTCCCCTATGTGTAAAACACTTTGAGTGCCCAGAAAAGTGCTATATAAATGTAAGGAATTGTTATTATTATTACATTTTTTAATTTCTGTGCAGAGAGGTCATGTTTCGATTGGTCACTCGTAGTCAAGTGATGCGATTTCACAGGTCAGAGTTCACCAAGTTTGAACTTTCCAACACAGCAATCTGGGAAACTTGACGCACAAGCTTGCGTTTTCGGTCTGACGCATTTACATGTGTATGAATGGAAGTCTACGGAGAGAAAAGTCCAGTGTGACTGCAGATTTACTGTTTATTTTTTGCCATAGGCAAAGCCCATTATTACTATGCTCTTTCTGCTTATTATTATTTTTTTCTTCTTCCGTGCGTTTTTCGACACGTAACTAGTCCCGCAGCTTTCGTCCCAGACCCTTGAAAGTGGGGTCAAATCGTCCAGTTTTATCTGGAATGGTGTGCTATGACTTTTCCCCCAAAATCCCATAGACTTAACATTGAGCCAAACTTTGACGAATCACGCACAGACTGTAAATTTTCTTAGAAATATGGGATTCACAACAGCTGTAGGGGGTTGCAGCCTAAGTGAGAACATACCCCGCATGGGGGTATGAGTTGTACCCCTGGGGCTCTAGGACGTCCCAAAGTTTTCCCATTGACTTACATGGGCCCCATTGACTCCCATTCATTTCTTGACTCACATGTCAATCACATTACATAGCAGTGTCATACAGACTTGAGGGTGGGCTTATTTGACTCAGGCAACCAATCAGCATCTCAATATGGCATTACATTATGCACTGTTTATTTATTTGCATTTTAACGTTGTAAACTATAAAATTATGATTGTCCTCGTGGTTTTAAAGAAATGAAAATAAGCTTGCCTGCCTCTTTGTTATTTTGAACATGCAAATATTATTTAGGCAGGCCACTATGCCATTATTTATTTTCACTGCTCACTGAGTGTGAAACAATAATCCCCAACCAATGTGAATGATTGTAAACCTAAGAAAGATGAAAAGAAAAATGGTTGAAAATATTGTTGTACAGTTAAATGTGGCTTTTGCTGTATCTTGCGCATGATGACTGCTGTGCGCATACACAAACCACATAGTCTTCGCTCGCACTCATTCACATTCTCTCTCTTTTTCACGTACACACGCAAGGAATTAACTGCACACAAGTTAATGCTGGATCAATTAAAATAAAAACAAGAATATCTGACATTTCCCGAAACAGGATCCGGATTAAATTAGGCACCGAATGTAAGTACAGGTCTTTTCTCTGCTAGTTAGTGCAGATGAAGTTGAGTCTGTGAGATTCAGGAAGGCTGATCCAACAATAATCTCCTCCAGACTGAACTGCTCCTCTTCTGTTCTCCATTTTGCAGTTTTCCGGTGTGCTGCTGTGTGTTGTGTTTCCTGGAGCCCAGTTCTGATAGCAGAGAATGTCTCCACTGACCCAGAGCCACATGTTCATGCTGCAGTAGTTGTGTAAACCCAACCACACCGCCTCAGTAGACGCCAGTTTAACCACGTTCATCACACGACGCTGCATCTCCACTGACTGAACCGAGACCAGATCCACATGATTCTGTCTGCAGTATCTCAGAGCTTCAGACCACGACAGATTCTGCTGGATCACAATCAGTTTATCTGGACACAAAACAAAGCAGAAACTAGAGAGAGACTGATCAACAACAACATGCAGAACAAACACTGTGGAGGAATTTGTCATGTCAGACATGTAGAGTCTTAAAACTCAGGACACACCAAGAAAAAAGAAAAAAAAAGTCTGCGACAAAAACTGATTTTGTGGCAGTACTTACCACTGAGAGATAGGCTTTGATCTTTGATAATCCATATCATTTTTAAATATTCAATATATCTGACAGAATGTCAGCCGGCTTTTGTGTTCCTTCTTAACTTGCATCATTTGCTTCATTTTGATGCGTCAAGTTTTGGTTTTGTGCTCTGATTCATAGCTGAACAACCAATCAGAATGCTTTTGAATCTGGTGAACTGCCTCCTACCTGAACCCAACAAGATGCATTGTGTGGACTCACTAGAGATCTGCATGGTCCTGTTTTAAAAATCAGCCCCTGCTGAATTTTCAGGATTTCCACTCCCACTTACACCTGAATTGTTTGTGCCCACTCCCGCTCGCTCTTGTGAACCAACTCGGAGCTTATCAATAATGTACACAAATACTCTAACTAAATATTAATTCAAGTTAACACAGAACAGGATTTAAACCTGATTAAATTAGCCTATTGAAAAACCAAAGAATCGCATGTGACAATTCTCATCTCATCTCGTTTTCGTCTGCTTTCCTGGGGCCGGGTCAAGAGGCAGCAGTCTTTAAAGAGAACCCCACACTTCAATCTCCCCAGATATTTTCTCTACCTCCTCTAGGGGGATCCCGAGGCATTCCAAGGCCAGGCGGGAGACATAGTCCCACCAGTGTCTCCTGGGTTTTCCCGAAGCTTCCTCATGGTGAGAGACATGCCTGGAACACCTCCCTAGGTAGGCGTCCAGGAGGCATCCAAAACATTAGCCTGAGCCATCTCAGCTGAATTGTCTCGATATGGAGGAGCAGCGGCTTTACTCCGAGCTCCTCACTTCACCCCATCTTGTTTTTTCAATCATGACCCAAAGCTCATGACCATAGGTGTAATGTAATGTTATGTAATGTGTATTTATATAGCGCATTTATTATGTATGGTCATACACCCAAAGCGCTTCACAATCATGAGGAGGGACTCTCCACACCACCACCAGTGTGCAGCATCCACTTGGATGATGCGATGGCTGCCACAGGACAACAGCGCCAATGTGCTCACCACACACCAGCTATTTGTGGAGTGGAGGGACAGTGATAGAGCCAATTCGGTGGAAAGGGATGATTGGGAGGCCATGATCGTAAGAGCCGATAGAGGGACTTTGGCCATGACACCGGGGTTACACCCCTGCTCTTTCACGAGAAGTGCCATGGGATTTTTAATGACCACAGAGAGTCAGGACCTCGGTTTAACGTCTCATCCGAAAGACGGCAGTAGAGTAGGTACGTAGATTGATCGATAAACTAAGAGCAACAATTGTCACAATTAATAGGTATTTATTTATTAACGTTATAAAAAAATCTAGGCACATCAGTTTTTTTATTATTATTTTTTTCAAGGTTTTCACCTTCATTGGATAGGTAATAGAGATATGTTTAATAATAATATAATATATTGAATATTAATGTGATATATTGAATAATATGGTGCATTGTTGATATATTATTTAATTATTCTATAAAAATATCATCTTTTATTCTTTATTTTTTATTATTATTTATTTATTTTTTACTATTTTACTACTACTATTTATTGTGTACTGTTTTATTATAAATGTATGTTACTTTATAACTGCTTTGGCAATACATTTGTAACATTTGTCATGACAATAAAGCATTTATTGAATTGAATTGAATTAAGAAAGAGAGAGAGAGAGAGAGACGAGGGCTTCTGTGCGATTGATCACTTCTGGTTAAACTATAGAAGAAACAACTCACTGTCGTCCAAACGCAGCACACACACACACACACACAATCAACTAGCACACACCTACACAAAGAAAAATGCAACACACACACACAAACACATACATTAAACACACTATTTTACGCACATGCACTCACTCACTCAAACAAACATTCATGCACACACATTCAAACACATATGCACAAACACACACAAAGTGAGTCCCTGCATTGTTTACAAAGTCAAGCTTTGTGTGTGTATTTAGATGTATTTTCTGTCTCGTTAACAAAGTAAATACAGAAATTAGGCTGGCTTGTGTAGCAAGCCAGACTATTGTTATCCTATTTTTCTTCTGAGTCTAAAAATTAAACTCTATCTCCTCCTACAGCTTTCGAGCTTTGACCACCAAACTCACACCAGACCTCCAAACTGGTCTGACTAGGGTTGCTATATCTTTTCGGACTGATCCGACTTTCGGTTTTCCGAAAAACGTCCCGGGACCGTCAGAAAAATCCCATTGACCTAACATTGCACCAAACTTTGTGAGCTCATAACTCTACATCAGACTGTCGCACAGACTTCTAACTGGGCTCATTTAACTCAGACTACCAAACTACCAATAACTGATGAACTTTTACATTTCTAGCCACACCCCTAAAAACCAGATACGGCACCCTAGCAATGGTCCCATAGACTGCCATTATAGAGGTCCAGATTGATATCGTCATGCTGCAGTGTGATAGACATGTGTGTTGCTTTTAACTGTTCATACTGGCAAGAAGCTTTGATACATCATCAGTCTAAGCTGTCAATCAACTCCATAGCAACAAAACAGACTAACCTAGCAACAATATAATAGCAGCTAAATCTCAGTTTCAGAATATCCTAGAGAAGTGGGGGTTGGCTTGTTTGACTCATGCTAGCACACCATCTATCTATCTATCTATCTATCTATCTATCTATCTATCTATCTATCTATCTATCTATCTATCTATCTATCTATCATGCTAGTAACATGCTAATTCATGCTAGAATCATGTTTACAACATGCTAATTCATGCTAGAATCATGCTAGTAATATGCTAATTCATGTTAGAATCATGCTAATAACATGCTAATTCATGCTAGAATTAAGCTAGTAGCATGCTAATTCATGCTAGAATCATGCTAATAACATGCTAAGTCATGCTAGAATTATGCTAGTAGCATGCTAATTCATGCTAGAATCATGCTAACATGCTAATTCATGCTAGAATCGTGCTAGTAACATGCAAATTCATACTAGAATCATGCTAGTAACATGCTAATTTATGTTAGAATCATGCTAATTCATGCTAGAATCATGCTAGTAACATGCTAATTCATACTAGAATTATGCTAGTAACATGCTAATTCATACTAGAATCATGCTACTAACATGCTAATTTATGCTAGAATCATGCTAGTAACATGGTAATCTTTCTATCTATTATCTATCTGCCGATCTATCTTTTCATACTTTTAAAAACTGTTTAAACTAAAAAAGCTATTACCATCAGGCGTTCACAGGCCAGCCTCAAAGTTTGTCCTCAAACTTTAAGAATCTAATTATGCTTGTTTTAATAGTTAGTGATTGTGTTTTAATAGTTTGTGGGAAGGACTGGCATAGGATCGTAAGGCAGGAATCGATCTTGGGTCACTGTGAGAACCGGAGTGCATGTGTCGACACACTAACCACTACACCACTGCCGCTGACATCAGTTTTTAAACATACTGCATGATACGCACAGTTTAACCGATAGGAAATTGTTTAGGCTGTGAAGGCTTAAACACAATATGACAAACCTTTAAATTGTTAAATAAACACACAGAACTTAGGAAATACTGCTAGCTATAATTTAGATTTAGCCGGCTAAAAAAAGTAAATAAAATAAAAAGAATGTCCCAAAAATCTCATAGATGTCCTATTCACAATAGACCAATGGTCTCTAACTCAGTTCCTGTAGGACCACAGCTCTGCCAAGTTTAGCTTTAACCTCCACCAACTCACACCTGCTAAATAGTCTCTAGTATTCTTGAACACTTTGATATGTTGGGTCAACTGTGTTTGATTTTGGTTAGAGTAAAACTGTGTAGAGCTGCGGCCCTCTAGGAATCGAGTTTGAAACATATCCAATAGACCTACTTGCCTCAAAGGCTATTACAACAAAATAAGAAAATATATAATAGCCTACTAAAAATAAAACAAACAAAATAACGAAGCCAACAAACAAGCGACTGAGACGGGCACTGCATTGCTCACTTCATATGAAGAGAAGAAGTACTTTAGCCGACTATATTATAGCCTACAATGAAGGAAATATATATTGCTGACTGACCAGAGTCCCAGACTTGTGCGTCTTTCTTCCAAGATTTGCCCACACACACACATTAAATGCTTTTTCTGAGTATCTCAGTAGATGTGGTAATGCTCAAAACAAAATGCACACATATTGACATGACAGGAAAGCACCCTTTAACTTTTTTTCTTCTTAACTCTAGTGTTGACTATTGCATGTCAAATCCCACCTGTGGGTCTGCAACAAGATTTTCTAACCACCCACTCCTGTCCACAGTTAAGGTAAAGCTGCCAATTTCAGTGTGATTTGCATTGGGTCTAATGAGAGTCCAAACCCAATGTAGTTCTCTAGAACACATCAAACAAACTAGCCTGACAGACCCACAACAAACAGCCTGATGCTACCTAACAGCCGACCATCTACTTGGTGTGTCCTGCCTTAACAGATCTGGAGCTGATGATGGTGTGTTTGGAGGATCTGCTCACCTTCATGACACACAAAAGGAAACTGGTGGTGACAAAGGTAGTCTGACCATCGGCCCTGAGCATTCCGTTCAATCACTGTACAGTTTTCCGGACCTGCATAATTATTTGGTTCACTGGTTTTCCAGTATCTGAATGAGGAGCTGCTCTGATCTGACCACTGCCATGTGTCTCTGAACAGACCGATCCAGACTGCAGATCCAGATGAGTTTCTGTCATCAATGAACTTCTCCAGCTGTTGACTCTCATTCTGGTTCCTCACACTGACCAGATCAATGTGATTCTGTCTGCAGTAACTCTGAGCATCTCTCCAGTTCATCGTCTGATTGACAAACACCAGTCCTGGGCTCACTTTAAGAAAATAAAGCAGAAACATATTTTTTTTCTGTATTTTCTTTATTCTTTTTCTGCTTTGGTATTTAGATGTGGACATAAGCAATGGTGGAAGCTTCAAACATGTGTAATGGAAATTCATTTTTAGATGAGCTTTATATGTTAGAAACTTGTCTAAGACTCATTATTACATGTGTGTGTATCTGTGTTCTCCATATGTTCATCATAAAACCTATGTGTGTACATTTTTATAGATAACTATATTTCTTTAGGTGAAAGCTTTTTTATTATCCTAAGAAGGATGTGTGGTTGTTATGAGCATATCGCACGAACAGCAGAAGACGCCTGACGTAATTGTAGATGAGGCCTTATTGGGAGTTGACCTCGTAAGCAGTACAAACCAGATAAAAGGGTGAACACACTTGACTTCAGTATCTCACTCTGCAGAAACTGTTGTTGCTGTATGACTGTGATCTTCTTTATAAAGAATAAAACTTGTAAAAGACATCCCGGGTAAGACTTTGTTTCTTGACCACTGAGAGAGCCTCCTTAGAGAAATAGCCACTACACATGCTTCTATTACTATACTACTCTATACTTCGAGAACATCATTCAATTTCACTTTTTATGTTCTTTTCTTTATCCAAAATCTGTAAAATTGATTTGTTGAAGTTTTTTGTTTTTCATTTATACTAATGTGTTTACTGCTGTCACATTAAAATACCCAATTAAATTGTAATAAATACAATTATGTTAATTTTGGGGTTTGTACTCACTGTTGTAGCAGATGAAGAAACAAGTGTTTTTACATGGCCCAACAATCCACTGCTCGTTTCTCATAAAAGTACATTCATCATTGCCAACTGGTTGTCCAGATGCCCAGTTCAGAAAGAGCGCAGGATCACCTGAAGACCAATGCCAATTATAAACCCTCGTCTCTTGAAGACCAATCCAGACACGTACATTATTTACAATCTTGTTCAGCTGGATCATGTCATTCATGTTGTCAACAGTGGCCAGATCTGTGTATTTCTCTCTGCAGTATCTCTGAGCTTCAGTCCAGTTCTTGTTCACATTTATATAGTAATATTGATGCTGAACACATTCAGATATGGAGCAGAGAGCTGTGAGAGAGACATTTTGCTTTAATACTTTTCAGAACAGAGTCAAACCTAATGAAACTATAAATCAAACTACAAACACACTCACCAATGAGGAGAAGAGAGAAATATAGAGATTGAGCCATTTCTGAGGAAGAGAAATATATAAAAACAGTCAGATTCTTTCTAGAGTAAAACATTTGAGCAGGTAAAAGTGAAACATAAATGCAGAATAAACAATCAATAAGAGCATCAACAGATGTCAGAAGTGTGTTCGTGTGTATATAATGTAGATGTAAGTTGTTCTTACCTCAGCGCTGGTGTGTTTCTGTCCTCAGTCTGATGTTTTAGTCGGCAGCTTCAGACTGTGTGATTATTCTATATCTTTCTGTCATATCATTTAACAACATCTAATCAAAGGCCTTTTTCATTTCTTTCCTCATTCAGGTATTGTAATCTATGCATGTCTTTATCTATGGTGATGTACTTTTTAAAAGCATGTTCATTTGAATGTGGTAAAATGCAGTAGGCCTGTGTTTAGTAATAAAGAATTTCCATAACAGCTTCTCTGGAAAACTACACAGCGATTTGCATTGTACTTTCTTAGTTGAGTTCACGTTGGATTTTGTTTGTGACCAACATTCAGTTTTCCTTGTCATCTGTTTTCCATCATCATGTGATTTTATGAGCTCAGGTCATGTTTTCACTCATTGGTCTTGTCATTTACATTTAGTCATTTAGCAGACGCTTTTATCCAAAGCGACTTACAAATGAGGACAAGGAAGCAATTTACACAACTATAAGAGCAACAATGAATAAGTGCTGTAGACAAGTTTTAGGTCTGTACAGTCTAAGAAGGAAAGTATTAGTAATATTTTAGAAATTTAGTAATTGTTTTTTTTTTTGTTTTCTTTTTTGAGTACAGTTCAAGAGTTCACACTTAGCTGATGATTTACAAAGCTTGTTTGGCATGCTGTCCCGGGAGAGAGCCCCAAGCTCAAGGGCTCCTCGAGCCCGGGGCTTCCTCCCGTTGGCAGAGCAAGAGAGGAGCCTGAGCTCGGTGGATCTCAGAACTCCCCTGCTGCTGTAGCTAAGGGAACACAAGGGATTAGACAAGCTTGATTGTTATGCATGTTGAATGTCTTTGTATGGTGGGAGGAAACCGGAGAACCCGGGGAAAACCCACGCGGACACGGGGAGGACATACAAACTCCTCACAGAAACACCCACCGATCCTGTGGAACCAGGGCCGGCAGTGTTCTTGCTGTGGGGCTCACAGAGCTAACCACTGGACCGCCGTGCCGCCCAATCACAGGTAAAGGAGGAGAATAGGGGAGGAGGGGGGTTTCTTCCAAACGAAGATAAAGTGAACTGAAAACTGAGGCTATTTATAGTAGCTTAGGGCTCATATGATTGGAAGATACTGATTAGCAAATGCGAAACTGGCCGTGATAAATCATAAGCACATGATCCTCTCGAAATTAGTTTATGAATAAACTTCACTTAGTGGTATATCCAGAGAGGCAATTGGGATTAGGTGATTAGTATTGTCATGTATTGATTAGTTTTGCTTTGTATTATTTTCAAGTGTACTAGTCAGTAGTCTTTGTAGCATTTATAGCCCTCATGTTCCTGTTTTCTCTTGTCATTTAGAAGTGAATGGGGGCAGACAGAATGGCTTTAAATCCAATTAGATCGGCTGCAATATATCGGGCATTCGGTTTATGCACATAAAACTACCCAAACAGAGGCAGTTCAGAGTTGTTGCTGAGTTATTGAGTCAGTTTACAGGGGCACAATCCAGTTCCAGTAAGGAACACACAATAAAACCATGATGTCTGCTTCTACATTTGTGAATAAATATCCAGTAATTACTGACCCTATTGTTTTTTGCCTGCTTCTATCTGACAGAAGACCAGAACATTTAAAACAATGAAATTTGCTGATAGCAGGGATATTCACAATGTTTTTTGCAGTGACTATCTTAATATTTTAAAATTATTTAATTAAAAAAAAGGTTTAATAGACTATGTTTAGTAATTAAATTGACAGCTCACATTGGAGAACCTGTAATGACTTCACCCTGATGGGAATTATTATTATTTTATGTACGTATTTATTTCATATATATGTTGCTTTATTAAATGTTCACGAAACCCTCAAGTTTTTTTTTTTTTTTAGATTTTAACAGATTTGTGTGTGTTCAGCACCAGTTAAGACAATGTTAGCAAGCAGCTGTCAGCTTTAATTGTGGAGAAAACTGGATAATTTTGAGCTTTTGTCAGCTGATTTCAACTTCCGGGTTTAAAAACAATTTATGATTATCTCTCCTCATTTCTTTTTATGGCATCAGTGACCAGAAGTACTCCTGTGACAAAGTTTACAATAACCAACTGAATATGGTGTTGTTATTATAATATATATATATATATATATATATATATATATATATATATATATATATATATATATATATATATATATATTTTTTTTTTTTTTTTTTTTTTTCTTTATTAAACCAGATAAAAACCCATTGAAATCAAGATCTCATTTACAAGGGTGACCTGGCCAAGAGATCCACAATACATGACTGATATAATATAAAATTCATAGAAAATCAATGTAAAAATACAGTTTAGTTGTTCTGGAACAGGATCCGGCAAGCACCGTTGTGGTGAGAAATTGAGGCTGCGTCCGAAACCGCCTACTCAGTAGGTACTGGATTTGAATTTAAACGTACTACTCGGCCGTTAGAAAAGTACGCTCTATACAGTATGAACATGAAAAGTATGAATGGAATTTGGACGTACTACATCCGTCATTTTGTCATGGTCACGTGACCTACCTGCGTCAGTTGTGTCGCTTCACTTCCAGAGTCTTGCCGGAAGTAGTAAGTCATCCGGGTACTTCTCGCATACTAATTTTCGAATTATATGAATTCGGACATACTACTCAGCTCGCATACTGATTTTAGCGTACTGTATAGTATGGAAATATGCGGTTTTGGATGCAGCCTGAGTCTCCTCTGCAATCCAGCCCGATTAGGACCCCTAAGGGACTGTCTGTGGTAAATGCCTGATCAAAAGTTATCATTGTGATATCCTGTTGTGTGGCTAATCAGAGCTGTGTTAGCTTATCGTAGCCAGGAGGCTAAGGGTAGAGGTACGATTATGCTACCACATAAGCTAACTGGGCTAATTTAACAGGTAACAATTGACCCTTAGCTAAGCCCCGCCCACTTAAGTTACTGTTGCCAAGCCTGTCAAGCTTTCGTGCCTGGCATGTCTATTACAATATGTATGTGCCGGTGTCAGACATTGCCAGGGATAAAATTTGTCATTTTTGGCGAAAAGGTGAGATATCTGAGAGAGCCAGACAAAAAAGTACTGCAGTGTGCGTTACAGTGGGTATATTCACAGTATAATAGGCAACTGATTAGAAAATAATTTGGTAACGCTTTCTTTTACAACCCGCAAAGTACAGCGTACGTACAGTGAAATTACAGTGTACTTTTCTGTACGTACTGTGTAAGTATAATGAACGTATGTGTAGGTATAAGGGAACAAACCGTAATGCTGGGGTAAAAAGGGGGTAACAACCAGATATTCAACATGAAAATTACTGCGTAAGTACAGTGAAATAACGGTGTACTTTTCTGTACGAATAGTGTAAGTATAAATAACATTTACGTAGGTATAAGGGAACAAACTGTAATGCTTGGGTAATAAGGGGGTAACAACCAGATATTGAGCATGAAAAGTACCACGTAAGTACAGTGAAATAACGGTGTACTTTTCTTTAAATTGCAAAAGAACAAAGCATAATGTTTGCGTTACCAATAATTTAATCAAAATTGAAGCTAGTTTGGCCTAGTCGCCTCATATGATAACCATTCAACAGAATGGTGAAATAAAAAAATAAGCTAATAATAACAAACTGAACCGTGACTAACCGACTAGGAAACACGCATGGACTGTGCTTCTACATCATTCATTTATAGAAGAACAGCCAGAAAGGGGAGATTGATGAGCCAAATATTAGCATCATTGACCCATAACAATGTACAGAATCTATATCTGTCAATATGATTATGAAAATATGACTGCTATTAGTATGACTACTATGGTGAGGGCTTAAACCACGCAGTGCTCATAATACCGAGAGAAAAAAAAAAGAAAAAGACTGATGGGAAACAGAACCTGCTTTGTATTTTTGTAGGAAACACAGTTTAGATCTGTTTAGGGTAAGAGATGTGTGAGTTATTGCTGTCGGTCTGTCACTGAATGTGTCAGGATTATCGAAAAACTAAACCAACTTTTGTCCGCTCCTTTAGTGCCTCTTACAGAGCCCCTTACAGAGCTTGATCCACTCTTGGGTTTTAGGTTTTGAAAACCCTGTCCAAACTTTAAGGATTCCAGGTATAAGATTTGCACAATCCATATGCACAAGGCTTTGGCTTATTTCCCTAGCTTAAAAGCTTGACAGAGCCCCTGTGCACAGCTATGGTTGCTAAGCCACAACTGGTGGGTGGCATTTTTTGGGTGTGGCTTATCGAAGAGTCAATTTAATAATCCATGCATGCCTTTAATTATACATAACTATAGGAAATGATCAATATAATGCTTACCCTGCTGAAAAATCCAGCCTAAACCAGCCTTGGCTGGTTGGCTGGTTTTAGCTGGTCGACCAGGCTGGTTTTAGAGGGGTTTTGGCCATTTCCAGGCTGGTTTCCAGCTATTTCCAGTCTGGTCTTAGCTGATCAGGCTGGAAAATGACCAGCCAAATCCAGCTAAAACCAGCTTGACCAGCCTGGTTTAAGCTGGATATAGCTGGTTTTGGCTGGACTTCCAAGCTTGGCTAGGCTGGTCAAGCTGGTTTTAGCTGCTCATCTCCCATCCTGACCAGCTAAGTCCAGGCTGGAAATGGCTGGAAACCAGCCTGGAAGTAGCCAAAACTGGGCTGGATTTTTCAGCAGGGTATACATGTTATTTTAGTAGTGAAATGAAATAGTCAAGCTTTACCATATATAAATTATAAATGTGATTTTTAATTTTTTTAGTTTTTATTAAGGCACTACAAACTGTACCCATAACAACTTCAATAAAACAATAGGATCACTCAGGGTTCTATAAGAGGACCGAATGATTAGTAGGGTCTCGATCTCTCATGACAACGGCTCAAATTAAGCAATGAATGTAAGTAAACACACAAACAGGTCTTTTGTCTGCTAGTTAGTGCAGATGAAGTTGAGTCTGTGAGATTCAGGAAGGCTGATCCAGGTCTGATCTCCTCCAGACAGAACTGCTCCTTTTCTGTTCTCCAGTTGGCAGTTTTCCGGTGTGCTGCCGTTCCCTGGAGCCCAGTTCTGATAGCACACCATGTCTCCACTCAGCCAGAGCCACATGTTCATGCTGCAGTAGTTGTGTAAACCCAACCACACCGCCTCAGTAGACGCCAGTTTAACCACGTTCATCACACGACGCTGCATCTCCACTGACTGAACCGAGACCAGATCCACATGATTCTGTCTGCAGTATCTCAGAGCTTCAGACCACGACAGATTCTGCTGGATCACAATCAGTTTATCTGGACACAAAACAAAGCAGAAACTAGAGAGAGACTGATCAACAACAACATGCAGAACAAACACTGTGGAGGAATTTCACATGTCAGACATGTAGAGTCAACTTTAAGAGATCTGAAGCTGATGATGGATTGAGTGTGTTTGGAGGATCTGCTCACCTTCATGACACACAAAAGCATACTGACGGTCGCAAGGGACGTCATTCCATTGTCTTGGATCATCCGGATATATCACTGCACAGTCTTCATGACCTCCTTTATTATTTGGTTCAACAGTATCCCAGTATCTGAATGAGGAGTTGCTCTGATCTGACCACTGCCATGTGTCTCTGAACAGACCGATCCAGACTGCAGATCCAGCTGAGTTTCTGTCATTAATGAACTTCTCCAGCTGTTGACTCTCATTCTGGTTCCTCACACTGACCAGATCAATGTGATTCTGTCTGCAGTAACTCTGAGCATCTCTCCAGTTCACTAGCTGATAGACAAACACCTGTCCTGTGCTCACTTTAAGAAAATGAAATGTCAAAGTTTTTTTTATCAGTTTATTCTTCATTACACTTCTGCTTTATAGTTTAGATGTGAACTATTATAGCATCAGAAATGCTCATATTACACAAAACGTTCATATTTTTATGTCTCTAAAGACATTCTAAGGGCTCTGTTTCAACGATCTAGGCTCAAAGTCTAAAGCGCATGCCACAAAACAATTAAGGGCATGTCCGAATACACTTCTGCTATTTTAAGCATGGAAACATATGCTTTGTACCAGGGCGCATGGTCTAACAGGGTTGTGCTTATTCTCTTAATAAGTTCTGGATGCATTTTGAGCAATGGTGCCAGAATAATGAGAGAATTTTGAGAATTTTCTTATTAATTTCTAGACAGTCAAAAGTTTACACACATTTCCATGGTTTTTTTTTTATTATTATTATTATTATTTTTTTAGCTTTGCTCTTAAACTGTATAAATTTGGTCAAATGTTTTGGGTCTCCTTCCACAAGCTTCTCACAAAAGTTTGCAGGAATTTTGGCCCATTCCTCCAAACAGAATTGGTGTAACTGAGTCTGATGTGTAGGCTGTCTTGCTCACACAAACGTTTTCAACTCTGCCCACAAATGTTCTATAGGATTAAGGTCAGGGCTTTGTGATGGTCACTCCAAAACATTCACTCTGTTGTCTTTAAAGCACATTTTTACTAATTTGGCAGTATGCTAATGGTCATGGTCTGTTTGAAAGACACATTTGTGGCTAAGTTTTAATTTTCTGGCTGATGTCTTCAGATGTTGCTTCAGTATTTCTACATAATGTTCTTTCTTCATGATGCCATCTATGCTGTGAATTGGACCAGTCCCTCCTGCAGAAAAACAGCCCAAGAACATGAGGCTGCCGCCCCCATACTTCACAGTTGAGATGGTGTTGCTAGGCTTGTAAACTTTCTCCTTTGTCCTCCAAATGTAACACTGCTCATTATGGCCAAACAGTTCAATCTTAAGCCCCTTTCACACAGTGATACCGGTAAATATCCGGAAAATTTCCGGAACGACTCTACCGGTATATTCAAAAAAGCGCTGTTCACACAGGCGAGGACGTTACGGAATTTTTCCGGAAAAGAGCATTCACACATCCATTCCAAAATGCCGGTAAATTCTGACATCATTCACCACAAATGAGCTTTAAACGGCTGCGCTTGTATTTGTAAACATTTGACTAAATTACAAACTCTGTGGATGATCAATATTGTGAACAACTTTCGCAGGATCACTTTCGCATGTCGAGATGTTCATGATATGTGTGTGTGCAGGCGCTCACAGGCTGTTTCATGGGCACACGCAAAGCTTGAAGGTAAACAAACAACGGCTTATCATAAGCATCTCATCGATGATTATTTACACAGTTGGCATTAAGAAGAACATATAAACGTGATCTGACTAACTTCTAGCAGCTAAATGTGTCTGGAAAATATTCAAAGGCTTTTATTCTCACAAACCGCGCGGACGTAAATGCGTCTGACTGTTCTGATTGGCTAAAGCAGACGTCTTACGTCAGCACGTTCTAGACGTGCACACGCTTATTCCGGAAATCTTCTTTCTGCGTTCACACAGCGCAGCATTCCGGCAAATTGCCGGTAATGTTACAACTTCTCTTTCTGGAAAATAGCCAGAACGAATTTACCGGTATTTTCAAAAAGGACCTGTTCACACATACAACCTTTCCGGAAAATTGCCGGTAATTTTCCGGAAAGGTCTGTATGTGTGAAAGGGGCTTTAGTTTCATCAGACCACAGGACATGTCGCCAAAAATTAGTCTTTTTCCCAGTGTCATTTAGCAAATTGTAATCTGGCTTTTTTGTTGATTCTAGCTTGTTGATTTTGCCATGTTGTCACACAAGGAAGCAGTGTGTTTGAGGTTTTTTCTAAAATACTATTCTACAGTTGTGCCTCCAGTTAACTCAAATGTTGTCAATTAGAAACTTCCAAAACCTTGACACCATCATCTGAGCTTTTACAGAGGCAGAATAATCGTATTGTATGTAAACTTGACTTTCAAGAAAAAAAGTCTATAGTTTTTTTCAAAAAATCTCTCTCTCATTATTCTGCTATTAAGCAGAACAGACACAAATATGACAATCCTCACTTACATAAAAGAGAAAAGGTTTAGTCGCATTAACATCTGACTTTTTAAAGTGGTTATTTGCCCTTTTTATACAGTGTATGTAAACTTCTGCGTTTACTGCATGTCTTATACCCCATATGGTGATGCAGATGTCTTCAAATCAAATCTAAACTATTCAAAAGATTTTCATTATGATTTCTATAGCTCTTTTTACGATGTAGGTTCTATCAAAGGTGAAGATAAGAGAATAAAAAGCCACAACAATATTTAGGATTGGGGAAATTAATTTCAGCTGGTCTTTTTTTTGGGCATCACTTTGGCGCAGTGTGTAGCACAATCGACTCACAGCAAGAAGGTCGCTGGTTCGAACCTCGGCTGTGTCAGTTGGCATTTCTGTGTGGAGTTTGCATGTTCTGCCCGTGTTGGCGTGGGTTTTCTCCAAGTCCTCCGTTTTTCCCCACAAGTCCAAAAACGTGATATAGGTGGATTGGGTAATGTTACGACTGGAGTTTATTTATTTATTTATTATTGCGGATTGTCCTGTCTTTTTCTTTTGTCCCGCCTTCTTGTTGTTTTTCTGTTGTTTCATAGGCTCCCCATACCGGCTTGATTCCCTATTCTGATTGGCTGCTCCTACATATAAAAAGGAGCTTCCGGCAGGGTTCGAAGAGCTCATTTATGTGCGTTCGGTCTTTGGAGTGGAGCTCCTGGGTTTCCCTTACCCCTTCGGCCGACAACCAACAACAACCAACTTTGTATTGATGACCATCATATGTTTCAATATTTTTGAGAGTTTGAGCGTGTAGGGGTGACCTGTCTATTTATTTGATTACTTTTGACTGTGTTTATGTTAGGGAGTAAGGTAAGATTCTTGTATTTTTCTTTAAATAGTAATAGGTAATTTAGTGGATTTATTTTATCGATTCTTTTGTTTGTTATTTTGGCCTGTGGTCACCCTGACGAAATGCTCATTTATATAAACCCTATTTTTCTATAATAAATATCTTCATATATACTCTCAACTGAGTGTGTGAGTTTGGATGTCGACCGAAGGGAATCTTTTGCTTTAAGTTTTGTTTAGTTTGGGAAATCCACCACCCCAACACATTTGTTTTTTCTTCGTTTATTATGCCCTTTTTGTTTCCCCTAGACTTGGGGCGTAATAGGTAAGTTAAATTGTCCATAGTGTATGTGTGCGAATGAGTGTGTATGGAAGATTCCCAGTGATGGGTTGCAACTGGAATCTTTATAGCACTTTTCGCTATGTAGATTGCCAAACCAGCTTAACATAGATGACGTTCCAATAAATTAAAACTGCTTTAGTTCAGTTTTCACAGTTCAGTTCAATGTAATCCAAATTTCGTTGCTAAAAATCAGACACAGCAGTAGTGTAGTAAAATGCTAGAATAGTTCTAGTAAAATAAAACTGATTCAGTTCAGATTAGTATAACTGTTATTGTTAAAGGCAGATCCACTGAAGAGCAACTCCACTAAAGCTCATTTACTGAGAGACGGCTATTGAAATATGAGCGAATATATCAGCCACAGCATTACCAATACTTAACATGAATAGGGTTTGTGTTTGTTTGTTGAATGTTTAACCTTGTCAAACATAAATGTCTAGTTGAAGATTTATTTAATAGTTTGTACTCACTGTCGTAGCAGATGAAGGGCAAGAACACATTACATTTCCAAACACACCACTGTCCATTTATTATATAAGCACAATCATCACTGCCGGCTGGTTGTCCAGATGTCCAGTTCAGAAAGAGCGCAGGATCACCTGAAGACCAATGCCAATTATAAACACTCGTCTTGTGAAGACCAATCCAGATGTTCTGATTACCTCCATTATTCACACAATTCTTCAGCTGGTTCATGTCATTCATGTTGTCAACAGTGGCCAAATCTGTGTAATTCTCTCTGCAGTATCTCTGAGCTTCAGTCCAGTTCTTCTTCTCATTTATAAACAAATATCGACGCTGAACACATTCAGATATGGAGCAAAGAGCTGTGAAAGAGACACTTGGTTTAATGCTATTCAGAACAGAGTAAACATAATAAAACTATAAACCATCAATAAAACTACAAACACACTCACCAATGAGGAAGAGGAGGAAGTGTTGAGTTTGAGCCATTTCTGAGGAGAAGAAATATAGATGAACAGTCAAATTCATTCTAGAGTAAAACATTTGAGCAGGTAAAAGAGAAACAAATGTAGAATAAACAAGATGAACATCAACAGATGTCAGAAGTGTGTTTATGTGTATATAATGTAGATGTGAGTAGTTCTTACCTCAGAGCTGGTGTGTTTCTGTCCTCAGTCTGATGTTTCTGTCTGCAGCTTCAGACTTTGTCTGCTTTTACCAATCATTCAGCACGTCCCATCAGGTTTATTACTCTAATCAAAGGCCTTTTTCATTTTCTTTCTTAATCAGGTACTGTAACCCATGCATGTCTTTATCTTTGATGTTGTCTTTTTTTACAAGCTTGTTCATTTGAATGTGGTGAGAATTCAGTAGGCCTGTGTTTGATAATAACGGATTTCCATAACAGCTTCTCAGGAAAAATACACAGCAATTTGCATTGTATTTTCCTAATCAATTTTCACCTTGGATGTTGCTTGTGACCAACAGTTTTCCTTGTCATATGTTTTCCATAATCATGTGATTCTACGAGCTCTAGTCATATTTTCACTCATTTTTTTCTTGTCATGTATTTACTAGTTTTGCTTTGCATTATATAAGAGTGTACATTAACCAGTAGTCTTTGTGTATTTTACAACCCTCAAGTTCCTACTGTCTCTTGTCAGTGTCAGTTGGAAGTGAATGGGGGGCAAACAGAATGGCTTTAAAGGGCACATATGGGGAAAAATCTATTTTTCAATCTGTTTGGACAGACATATAATAGTGTAAAGACCATCATATTGGGTTGATATCAACACAACTAGTCCTTCAATTTAACAACATGAAAATGGTGGACCAATTGGAGCGGTTTTAAGACCGACCACAACTTGATGTAGGAGTACGGTCCCTCCGCCCACCAATATTGATTAACAGGCCCGCATTACCACATCCTCAGTTTGTTGTTTCACGTCTGCCATTTGAGTCATGTCACTAAAGGAAAACCCTTGCACTACTTTTAGATGTAAGGCTCATTGGGCTCAAAACAAGAGCCTTCATCGTCTTCCTGCGAATGAGCAACAGAGACTTTACATTTATCAGCCATTTGCACTGAACTTGCCGATCAAGATTTAGGCCATTAAAAACAGCTGATCCACAGAGAGTCTTTCAGCACTCTCTCCAAAAACACCCGATTGATCTCGGCTGGCGAATCAACATTCATGATCACTCTCATTAGCGCCATTGTTTGTAACTTTAGGTGGGTTTACAAACCTGTGTACTTTTTATCACATCTTCCTTAAACTTCAGCCGTTTGTGTTTCCTGCGGTCAAAGACGTTCCTGTCATCTCAACTAGTTGCGGCTGTAAAGTGTGAGCACGTCGCTCCATTGGAAATAATGAACTTGTCTTAGTTAAAGCCTCATTCAAAGTCAATCTAGTGTGCGTGGTTATCAGTCTCGGTGTACAAGCTCGGAACTGTGAACTAGCACACAGTTGGCATCACTTTATTTAGTTGCCGCAGTTTTATTCTGTGTAGAAACATGATGTTGAGAAGCCTTTATGATTATTTAACCATGACGGATTAAAGCCCTGTTAATAGTGAAACCGGTTAATCGTTGCATCCCTATACGGATGAAGCATGCATCGTAGCAGCTGTAAAACCATACAAAGGCACAAATGATTTTGTAACCACCACTCTGACATTTTCTGGCACATTATGTAATGTAAATGTAATGTAATGTGTGTTTATATAGTGCATTTATTGTATATGGCCATACACCCAAAGTGCTTCACAATCATGGGGGGGGGTCTCTCCACACCACCACTAGTGTGGAGCATCCACTTGGATGATGCGACGGCTGCCACAGGACAACGGCGCCAGTGCGCTCACCACACACCAGCTATTGGTGGAGTGGAGAGACAGTGATAGAGCCAATTCGGTGGAAGGGGATGATTGGGAGGCCATGATCGTAAGGGTCGATAGAGGGACTTTGGCCAGGACACTTGGGGTTACACCCCTGCTCTTTCACGAGAAGTGCCATGGGATTTTTTTTTTGACCACAGAGAGTCAGGACCTCAGTTTAACGTCTTATCCAAAAGACGGCGCCCACTGACAGTGTAGTGTCCCCTTCACTTTTACTGGGGCATTAGGACTCACGCAGACCACAGGTTGAGCACCCCCTGCTGGCCTCACTAACACCACTTCCAACAGCAACCTAGTTTTTCCCAAGTGGTCTCCCATCCAGGTACTGACCAGGCTCAGCCCTGCTTAGCTTCAGTGAGTAACCGGTCTTGGGCTGCAGGGAGATATAGCGATATGGAGATATTTTGATTTCTCAACAGTTGTTTCTGCTTGGTTTGTGTCCGTGTCCGGGTCGTACATGTACGGCTGAATGCTTGTCCTCTCACTCATATTGCTTCTCTCTGTCTGCTTGTCTGTTGCCATACACCCTTGTTAAAAGTTGGGCGGGAAGTCGAAACTAATTGTCATGTAAAGCAACACACCCTTAAAACAACAACCCGTGTACATGCCCCCAAAATAACACTTTTTAACACATTATAATAAAAATATCTGAACTGTGTTTTGAACTGAACCTAAACTGGCACACTCAGAAGAACCATAATATTAATAGTAAATCTTTAAAACGGAGTAAAATAGGTGCCCTTTAAATTCAGTTAGATAGGTGGCAATATCAGGCATTCAGATTATGCACATAAAACTACCCCAACAGAGGCAGTTCAGGTTAAAATGGATAAATGCCACTGGCCACAAAAACACAGTTGTTGCTGAGCTCTTGAGTGAGTTTAAAAGACAATCTAGATCAAATAAGAAACACACCTTGATGTCTGCTTCTACATCTGTAATACGTTTCAATTAACTACTGACCTACTGAAAGAAGACCGGACCATTAAAAAGATAGTTTGATAATTGGCTCATACAGTGCATCTGGAAAGTATTGATAGCGCTTCACTTTTCTACATTTTTATGTTACAGCCTTATTCCAAAATGGATTAAATTCATTTATTTCCTCAACATTCTACGCACAATAAAACATAATGACAATGTGAAAAGTTTTTGAAATTGTTGCAGATTTATTAAAAAGTAATGAAAAATCTGAAAAATCACATGTACATCAGTATTCTCAGCCTTTGCCATGAAGCTCTAAATTGAGCTCAGGTACATTCTGTCTCCACTGATCATTCTTGAGATGTTTCAGCAGCATAATTGGAGTTTACCTGTGCTCAAATTCAGTTTATGGGACATCATTTGAAAAGACGTACACCTGTCTATATAAGGTCCCAGGGTTGACAGTGCATGTTAAAGCACAAACCAATCGTAAAGACAAAGGAATTGTCTGTAGACCTCAGAGACAGAATTCTCTGGAGGCAAAAGGCTGGAGATGGTTACAGAAAAAAAAATTCTGCTGCTCTGAATGTTCCAATCAGCATAGTGGCCTCCATCATCCGTAAGTTGAAGATGTTTGGAACCACCGGGACTCTTCCTAGAGCTGGCCGGCTATCTTAGCTGAGTAATCAAGGCAGAAGGGCCTTAGTCAAGGAGGTGATCAACAACCCGATGGTCACTCTGAGCTTCAGCATTCTTCTGTGGAGAGAGAAGAACCTTACAGAAAGACAACCATCTGTGCAGCAATCCATCAATCAGGCCTGTAAGGTAGAGGGGCCAGACGGAAGACACTCCTTAGCCTGGAATTTGCCAAAAGGCACCTGATGGACTCTCAGACCATAAGAAACTAACTTCTGTGGTTTGATGAGACTAAAATTGAACTCTTTGGAATGAATGCCAGGCATGATGCACAAATTGAGTGTGAAGCTTTGGCAATAAGTATGGAAATTTTATCAGTACCTCTATGGATGTAAATTCATGCCTCTCATAGATCATTGTCCACTCACCACAACTTTTGGTGCACAAAAATAATTCCTGCTTATAGCAGCTCCTCGAATGCATAGGTGCATGAATATATATTGAGTATAAAATGGCAGAACATCATGCCAATGCTGATGGCTCATGCCGCTTACCATTATAAGTGATCCACAGCAAGAAAATGAATGCAGTAGATTTATTCTACCTTGGACAGATGGATAAGCTCCCTGTTAGGGCTGCTGATATTCAGAGACTGATTGACCCAACCTTCTCTGCAGATGGTAATCTGGCCAGTAGCAATGTACACTTGAATTTACACCGACTGATGGAGGTGGAGCCCAAGGAGGAGAAAGAGAGCTGTAGAGCAAGGGTGACGTCGAGGTCCCAGAGGGCCAAGTTGGAGTGAACGGCTCATCCGAGCAAGGAGATGACGATGGGATGGAAGCCCGGGATGGAGCCAGAGCGACAGAGGACCAAGAAGTAGCTGGAGGGAGGAGCTCAATGTAGCCGGCAGGACGGAGAGATAAGGCACAGCCAGAGGAGTGGAGTCCGGAGGCAAAGGCAGGGCGATGACTGACCAAGGTGGAGCCGGAAAAACAAGGGAGCCCGGCGGAGCTGGTGGGCTGATGGGACGAGGCGAGGGAGGAAAGAGCCACCATGGAGCCGTAGGGTCGGTTGGTCAAGGTGGAGTCTGCAGCTCGGAGGCTGAAGGAGCTGACGCTGGGCAACACCTCCCAGAGGGCAGTTTCCCAAAGCGATCTCCCCCTCTGGAGCTTGAGGGCGAGCTGGGGGGCTGACTGACTGCCAAAACGCTGGAGCTGGTTGGTTGGTTGCTGAAGCAATTATCAGTGAAGGAGGCGAGGGTGGGTAGGGTGGGATGTCACTCATGACTCTGAAGCTTATCTCTTCGGGAACCAGGGGGACCAGGAATTGAATTGACACAGTTGACATGGAGAACACCTTTGCTGCCTGGAAACAACGGGAAAGGGATGACTTCTCTCCAGAAGTCGATAAGCAACATTCCAGTGTCCAGCTGTAGCTCACCCTCTGTGGTGGGGAGGTGGACAGGACTCTCTCCCAGCTGGTCTAATTACACCAGTATTCCCAAAATGGGGGATGTTGCCGGCTCATACACCTGGTCAGACATTTTATTGAGCTCTTCCCCTGATGGTGGTATCTGGCACTGTCGCTCCTGTTGGCGATGGCTTGTGCACCGCTGGTGGCTCTCTGTCTGCGGTGGGCTCTGGCAAGTGCTCCCTGCAGATGGGGGTGTTTGGCTGGTCACAGGGTCTGGAGTGGCACTCCTAGTAGTTTTCAAAATTGCCTTGAGGACCATGTTTGGACGAGCATGCTCTGCAGGCAGCGTTAACGCTTGCATTGTAGAACCCGCAGAGCACTCTTCCAGATAGCTGGTGGTGATGTTAACCAGTAGTAGAAGCTGTCTTGTATGGTCCTCAAGGCTTCTCTCCCCCCTGCTTCAGTGGGAGAGAAGCCGTACTTAATTGTTTAGGTCCGTTATTTTGTCACATTTTCACTCTATAAAGAGACGCATTGGATCGCTGGAGTTTTAAAAACAAGTAGTTATTAACAAAACACTTACTACAGGCTTCGGAACATGGAGTGACATCAAGGGTGTAGACAATTCAATACTGAACAAGGAATTAAACAAACTCAGGAATATAAATACAAGGGACATGATTAAACTAATTACATACAGGGGAAACTCATGAAACAGACGACAAGGGAATCACATGACCAAAACAAGCACGTGAAACACAACAACACAGAACTGGACACTGATAATCTCATATTTTTTTCACTCTCAGTAGTTAGTGCAGATGAAGTTGAGTCTGTGCGATTCAGGAAGGCTGATCCAGGTCTGATCTCCTCCAGACTGAACTGCTCCTTTTCTGTTCTCCAGTTTGCAGTTTTCCGGTGTGCTGCCGTTCCCTGGAGCCCAGTTCTGATAGCACACCATGTCTCCATTCACCCAGAGCCACATGTTCATGCTGCAGTAGTTGTGTAAACCCAACCACACCGCCTCAGTAGACGCCAGTTTAACCACGTTCATCACACGACGCTGCATCTCCACTGACTGAACCGAGACCAGATCCACATGATTCTGTCTGCAGTATCTCAGAGCTTCAGACCACGACAGATTCTGCTGGATCACAATCAGTTTATCTGGACACAAAACAAAGCAGAAACTAGAGAGAGACTGATCAACAACAACATGCAGAACAAACACTGTGGAGGAATTTGACATGTCAGACATGTAGAGTCAACTTTAAGAGATCTGGAGCTGATGATGGATTGAGTGTGTTTGGAGGATCTGCTCACCTTCATGACACACAAAAGGAAATGAGCCGGTGCACGAGATGTCATGCCATCGTCCCTGTGCATTCTGATTCATTCCGATGCAGTTTTGAATACCTCCAGCATTGTTTGGTTCAGCAGTGTTCCAGTATCTGAATGAGGAGTTGCTCTGATCTGACCACTGCCATGTGTCTCTGAACAGACCGATCCAGACTGCAGATCCAGATGAGTTTCTGTCATTAATGAACTTCTCCAGCTGTTGACTCTCATTCTGGTTCCTCACACTGACCAGATCAATGTGATTCTGTCTGCAGTAACTCTGAGCGGCTCTCCAGTTCATCAGCTGATCAACGAACACCAGTCCTGTGTTTGCTTGAGAATGAATGATTGAACAAATGAGTGAATGATCTTTTTTATCATTCTATACCTATGATTTAAACTTTGGATGTGACATATTTGTGAATATCACTATAAGATCTTCCATTAAACTAGACATTATAATTACATCTCCCCCTCTACTTCTGTTCATAGTTACAAACAAGTAAGATGAGATCTGCTCTATCATAAACATGTTCAATATATTGTGCTATTGAACATAATTCATTCATTTTCTTTTCGGCTTAGTCAGAAAAGAAAATCAGGGGTCGCCACAGCGGAATGAACAGGTAACTCATCCAGCATATGTTTTACACAGGGTATTCGTTTCCAGCTGCAACCCATCACTGTGAAACATCCACACACACATTCACACACATACACTACGGACAATTTAGCCTGCAAATTCCCCCATAGCATGTGTTTGGACTTTGAGGGAAACTGGAGCACCCCACAACCCACACGAACACCCGGAGTACATGCAAACTCCACACAGAAACACCAACTCACCCAGCCAAGGCTTGAACCATTGACCTTCTTGCTGTGAGGCCAGAGTGCTAACCCCTGAGCCACTGTGCCACCCCAAAACATGTTGTGATCACAATAATTTTATATTGTCTGATACAGCATGTAACTTGTTATTTAATTGAACAAACACATCTAAATGTTTTACATTACTAATCAAACATCAATTCATCATTTAAATAAAGCATATTTTCCCAGTTTTCTTCTTTCCTATGCTTTTAGCATACATCTAACCCTAGGAACTTACATACCACCCTATTTTCTATGTTTCCATACATGAAAATTGTTGTGTGATTTATATACACATTTTTTTATACAGTTTCTTTGTTTCAAAAGGGTTTGTACTCACTGTTATAGCAGATAAAAATCCAAGTTTTACTACATGGCTCATCAAACCACTGTCCATTTCTCATAACAGCGCAATCATCACTGCCGGCTGGTTGTCCAGATGCCCAGTTCAGAAGGAGCGCAGGATCACCTGAAGACCAATGCCATTTATAAACACTCATCCTCTGAAGACCAGTCCAGACATATTCAGTAGCTCCATTATTCTCACTCTTCACCAGCTTGTTCATGTTGTTTAATTCATTCATGTTGTCAATGGTAGCCAGATCTGTGTATTTCTCTCTGCAGTATCTCTGAGCTTCAGTCCAGGTCTTGTTCACATTTATATAGTAATATTGATGCTGAACACATTCAGATATGGAGCAGAGAGCTGTGAAAGAGACACTTTTCTTTAATGCTTTTCAGAACTGAGTCAAACCTAATGAAACTATAAACCATGAATAAAACTACAAACACACTCACCAATGAGGAGAAGAGAGGAATATAGAGTTTGAGCCATTTCTGATGAAGAGAATATAGACAAACTATCAGATTATTTCTGGATTCGTTTTAGCTAGTAAATAAGAACAAATTCAGAGTAAACAATCAATAAGCTCATCAACAGATGTCAGAAGTGTGTGTGTGTGGGTAATGTATATGTGAGTTGTTCTTACCTCAGAGGTGGTGTGTTTCTGTCCTCAGTCTGATGTTTCTGTCTGCAGCTTCAGACTCTGTGATTATTCCATATCTGTTCTCATCCATCATTCAGCACGTCACAGCATGTTTATTACTGTAATCAAAGAACTTTTTTCCTCATTCAGGTATTGTCTTTATCTTTGATGTTGTCATGTTTACAAGTGTGATCATTTGAATGTGGTTAAAGATCAGTACGCCTGTATGTTTGATAATAAAGAATTTCCATAGCAGCTTCTCTGGAAAATTACACAGCAAAAAAGCTGGTCCTGTCCAGGTCTTCTATATCTCCAGAGTCTCTACTGGCCCTGTCCTTCAGCATCTGCTGCACCCTGGACCCTTCCCCTGTCTGCTCAACAATGATTCCCTTGGTATGACAATACATTCAGGCATGGGTTTTATTTATTTATACGCTATGCAGAACTGTTGCATGTGATAATAAGAAAGAAACAGAGCAAATCCAATAGGGCCTACGCACCGTAGGTGCTCGTTCCAATAGGGCCTACCCACCATAGATGCTCGGCCCCTAATTACACCTGAAACACTTCATCACTTGGTGTCTTCAGTCCCTGTTGTGAAAAGGATTGGCAACATTACAAAGTGACAAATGCTTTACTGAAATGTGTTGCAAGAACCAACACTGAAATATTTGTTTATTTAGAAAAAAACAATAAAAATCATTAGGAACACATTAAGGTCCGATCCCAATTCTATTTTTGTACCCCTACCCCTTAGCCCTTGCAACCGAGGGTTAAGACGAAGGGCTTTAATATTTATATGTCCTCGCAATCTCTTGCTTTATGTGAGTTCAGATGATCGCGACTGCTGTAGTGAATCCAGTTGTGTTATTTTTTGGTATTTATCTTCAGGAAATCACTGAAGGCATATATTATGTTATCATAAGGATCTAATGTGTCAATAAGATCGTAATTCTGTGCATTTACACAGTCACCATATTCATTAATGTAAAAACACCAAAAAACAACAATAACATTATAGCAGACACTGTAAAAAGTCCATTCCCAGCCAATTGACTTTTCTGACAGGGTATTCCAGTGTCATCGAGTGTCAGAATGTTGTAGGACTGCTGAACAGAAATTTTTATTAGGGATTATTGATCGCGAATAGAAATTTAGCGGTTTGTACTTTAGCGTTTTTTTTAAAAAGCATGATGTTAAAACACGAGCAAGGTTATGAATATATTAAAAAGTGTTTGTTTGTTGTAAAAATTCTTAATAATTACAAAAAAAAAAAAAAAAAAAAAAAATCAGTGGATCTCCTGACTTCCAGGTGCAGCTGTGGCTGGTGTATTCTGGGATATTTTTCTTACCCCTTGGTTTTGAGTGTGGTCCTGAAAAATCTTTGTTTGTAGGGGTGTATAGCCCTTGCCCTTAGCTCTACGCCTTCAATCTAAAGAGAATTGGGACACCATTACACCACTAGCCCTTCCCCTTACCACTCCTCCACCAAAACAAGGGGTAGTAGTAAGGGCTTCCTAAGGGATAGAATTGGGATTGGGCCTAAATAATGTTTGTTGTATTGTCTGGAATAAAATACAAGTCAAAGTATTCATTTGCATTGTCCCAACTTTTGTTCTAAATAGGGTTGTATTTAAAGGGCAGTAGCTTGCCATATTCCATCAAATATTACAAATATTATTTGAACGAGCCTGTCAAGTGTTTCCATAAAAATTGCATTTATGCGAAACTAAACAACAACCTTAAGTGATTGTGTGTTAGGGTAGGATGGGGTCAGTGATGAAAAAAATAAATACATGTGTATATATATATATATATATATATATATATATATATATATATATATATATATATATATATATATATATATATATATATATATATATATATATATATATATATATATATATATATATATATATATATATATATATATATATATATATATATATATATATAAATAAATAAATAAAAAACATTTGGAAGTAATGCACATTTACATTGCACTTTTATTGTGAGTTTCCATACATCTAAATAACTTTACATATGTAGGAGGCGCTCAAGCTTGATGAGGATGCTTTTATCCAAAGTACTTTACAAGTGAGGATAAAAGAAACAGTTAAATTCATCAAAGAGCTGCAGTATAGAAATGCTAAGATGACAAGTCCTTTTCCCCCTCTAAGCATAAGAAGAGGAGTTTGTCCTACAGGTGGTTTGTCAAGCCCACTCACCTGTGTGGAGCACACTCAGAATTGGAAGATGTTTTTCCTGAAACATGAAGTGTGGATAAGAAAGTGTCTGGCGCATATGAAGGTACACAAGTATCATTCAACTAGAATACATTTGAAAATATCCAGACCTGCTTAATGTTAACAGAAACAACATGATTATCTCTCCTCATTTGATTTTTATGGCTTCAGCAACCAGCAGTGCTCCTGTGACAAAGTTTACAATATGTATTTGAATATGACATTGGATAATGTCAAGGAAATGCTAATATCTTGCTTGCTTCTGTTCAATGTTTCCACACATTTTGTAGAATGAGTTGACTATTGTGCATGCTTACAATGTGTAGATACTGTTTTCTAACAAATGTATTATCGAAAGGTAAATTCCTTAACAGTGCCAGATAGGTATCCATTGCCCAGAATGGAAGTCTGCATTGACAATTTGGGTTCAGCAAAAAATGGTCACGAAATTAGATCTTCTCAAGGGATATTGGCAAATACCATTAACGCTGTGAGCTGCACAAATTTCAGCGTTCGCTACACCAGATAACTTCCTACAATACAAGGTAATGGCTTTCGGGTTAGGAAACGCTCCTGCAACCTTCCAGTGCCTCGTAAACATTGTATTGTCTGGTGTTCCAAACTGCAATGCATACCTCGAAGATTTGGTAATTTATTCCTGTGACTGGGAGGACCATTCGTCTGCACTTCATACTGTTTTTAAATGGTTATCTGACACTTCATTGACTATTAATTTAGCCAAGTGTGAATTTGGGAAAGCAACAATTACCTATTTGAGGAAAGAAGTAGGTCAAGGTCAAGTTTGCCATGTTAGTGCAAAAGTGACATCTACCCTAAGTTTCCTGTTCCTACAACAAGACACGAGTTGCGTCGCTTTTTAGGAATGTCTTGCTATTGCAGGAGTTTCTGTCATAATTATCCGTCTGTTGTTTATCCCTTGACTAGCTTGTTGAGTCCAAAAGCTGATTTTGTATGGTCTGATGCATGCCAGCAGGCTTTTGAGAACGTTAAGTTGTTGCTTACTTGTGCACCTGTTCTTGCCGCACCTGAATTCTCACTTCAATTCAAAATAGAAGATGATACCAGTTCTTTAAGTGTTGGCACTGTGCTTGTTCAAGAAGGTGATGTTGGCTTTGATCACCCAATCTGTTACTTTTCACGTAAGTTTAATCGACACCAACGTAACTATTCCACCAATAAAAAGAAGCTTTGGCTTTGATTTTAGCGCTGCAGTTGTTTGCTTTGAAGTCTACGTGCGTTTATCAGTTTTGCCAGTTACAGTATACACTGACCACAATCCTCTAGTGCAGGAATCACCAAACTTGTTCCTGGAGGGCCGGTGTCCTGGAGAGTTTAGCTCCAACCCTAATCAAACACACCTGAACAAGCTCATCAAGCTCTTAATAGGTATACTTGAAACACCCAGGCAGGTGTGTTGAGGCAAGTTGGAGCTAAACCCTGCAGGGACACCAGCCCTCCAGGAACAAGATTGGTGACCCCTGCTCTAGTGTTTTTGTTCAGAATGTACATTCACAATCAATGCCTTATGTGTTGGTTGTTGATTGTACAAAATTATAACTTAAACACAAAACATACGAAAGGATCTGAAAATGTCATTGCTGACACTTTATCTAGAGCTTAATGTTGGTGAGTGTTATGTGCACTTGCAGAACGTATTTTGGATACGTGTATGCGTTTGTTTGTATGTGGGTGTGTCGTTTCATGAACGACATTGGACGATCCGCATTTCGTGTTAATGACGTTGGCTGCTGACGCTGGGTTTGCGCCACCAATCGCTGGTTGAGTAGTTTAGTTAAGATGTTTGATACGTTGAAGATGTTTTTTTTTCATGCTTTTCTTTTCATATTTAGTTTAGTTTGTTGAAAACAATAACTGAGGTTTGTTATATTTATTTCTTTGATTTAAGCACATCTAACTTCTTCCTCTCCCCCAGGTAAATCATCATTTATTTATTGTAAATATTTTTATTTCACTGTGCAATATATTTTCACTGGATAAATGGGCAATAGCAGTGACATTTGGTTTTCAGTTCATTTCTTTCTCCATTCGCTTGTCACACACATTAAACTATTGTATGTTATGTCACATACTCTTAGTTTAACATTAACATCTAAAAGAACATGACAGTAGTTTGTTGGAAAATAAAACAAAACAGAACTTATATTATGCATCTTATAATGCCAAATGACCAATGACAAATGATGTAGTATAATAATGCTAAACTTATATATTCAGAGGTTCCAATTGGTACTAAGATTCTTCATGCTAACTTTTCTTTACTACAGAGGCTACCGATCCAATTTTTTATTTTAGCTCAAAGTTTGTTTAATTTTTGTCGCTGCAGTTTGATTCTTATTTATTTAATCCTTCTCATTAGTATTTATTCAGAAACCTCGAAGCTTCCCGAATCATCTCCATGTCACACTTTGAGAGGGGTCTGGATGCAGACCTGGGGCCTCATGTATCAACGCTGCGTACGCACAAAAACTTTGCGTACGCCAGGTTTCACGCTCAGAATCGCTCACGTTTGGATTTACTAACAATGAACTGAACGTGGGAATGTGCGCAGGTTCACGGCAGCTTTCTGGCAGGCGTACGCACATTTTTTGTGCGTGGGTGTTTTATTTCCATTGGCGACTCCTAGAGGCAGTTGTGTTAAATTCTTCTCTACAAAGTGTCTGATCCTTGCAATGGCGTCTGTATGAGACGGGTTCATATAGTAGGTATGTAAGATTTCCATACCATACAGTTGACCAGCCAAACATTAAAGCACAATTTGCAGCAGTCGCCTGTTTTCCCAATGTAATCTGAGCAATCTACTGCACGCACATTGCTATAAAGACACTATCTGAAGATGAATTTGCATGCGTGAGTCAGAAACATTTCCATTCAATAAATGTGCAAATAAAATATGATGCACAAACTTATTGATGATTCCTACTTGTCTTTCTCGTGATAAATAGTGGGCAAAATCTGATATGTAGCGGGGAAAAAAAGAAGAGTTCATCAGACGCTGGATTCGAGCCGAGTTTATGCTCGAACGTGTCAGTACATGATCACATGCTTCTTATGAGGTGCGCCACTGAGACTATTAAGGGTACTGCAACATTTCACAGATATAAACCACACTATTTCTTTTTTAAATGCACTCAGTGCGATGTTCAGACCCAACTGTGTTAACCATATCAGCTAAACTCTCCCACTCTATTTTTTTCTTTTGTTGTTAATTCCGGAGAACAAACTTGCAAATAACACCGCTTTTCTTCGGTCTACCTCCGAAAGCAGCACCTCCAATTCACATTCTGTTCAAAGTTTCTCTTTTTGCTTGATTTTGCCGTTGCTTTTTCGTTGGGTTTTGCCATTAGCATAGTCATTAGCATATTCATACGGGGGAGGAGGCAGGGAGGGGTTTTGTGCTCGTGCATGTTGCGCTCAGTTTCACGTTCATTCGGATGTACAAAAGAATATGCGTGAGATTCGGCGTACGCAGTGTTTCATACATCTGAATTTTTTTCTGCGTACGCACATTTACAGCTTTGTGCGTACGCAATGTTTTAGTAAGATTTCCACGCAAGTCTTCGTACATGAGGCCCCTGGTGCAGTGCAATCTCAGCTGCATCCAATGCTTTTTAATGCGCTCACCTAACCCCACCTCTGACGTCACTCACTCCATTAAGTGCATTGTGTCTGACATTGCAACGCTGAGTGATGCAATCTCAGCTTGCATCATAAAGGCTGCATCCAGATATTATTGCACACTTTAGCCACTGATGGCTTAACAACAAATAAGAACATGCAAAATAATCATAATCATAATAATAATATATTTTCTTTTTCATAAAACAGGTAGAAGGGGTATAATCTTGTTTGGAACTTTCTTGTAGTGCGCACTTATTAGGTTAATGTATTTTGCACTTGATTCTTAAGCACTTAGACAATCCTAAAGCTTATGCTCGACTGCTTTTTATTGATTTTAGTTCCGCTTTTAATACGATCCAACCACATTTGTTCACTGAAAAGATGGAACAGCTGAATATAAACCCATTCATATGCAAATGGTATTTCTCGTTTTTAACAAACAGAACTCAGGTTGTAAAGGTTAAAAACATCTGTTGAGATGAAAAGTACAGTAGCACTGGGGTTACACAAGGCTGTGTCAGTTCGCCTATTCTTTTTACACTTTTTACAAATGAATGTAAGCAAGCATTGACAGAATTTTATTTTTAAATACTCTGATGACACAGCCATACTAAGTTTACTTTATGAGAATGATGATATTGGTGTTATCTATCTGTCAGAAATTAATAAATAGTAAGAAAACAGAAGAGATGGTATTTGACCCAAAGTGAATAGGTGACCATCGTCAAGTGGTTGTACATGACCATCCTATTACTCAGTCAGAAACCTATAAGTACTTGGGCATTTACATCGACAATTCTTTCACATGAAAAACACACATTGAGTGGGTTTGTTCTCGATTACACCAGAGATTGTATTTTTTACGGAGGTTGCATCTTTTTGGAGTTAACAAAAAGCTAATGATGAAGTTTTATAAAGCAGTTCTGGAAAGCATTGTCAGGTATGGTATCACAGTGTGGTTTGGTAACCTATCTGTTCAGTGCAAATCTAAACTGATGCATCTCTTAAAGACAGCATGGAAATTTGTTGGGCACGATGAATATTTAAATCCTCAAGTTTTATATGAGAACTGTGTCCTCAATCAGGTGGAAAGGATTGTAAACGGTCCAACTCATTTTTGTTTCCACAGTACAAACTGCTTCCCTCTGGTAGAAGATAATAGAGTACCAAAGTGTAGGTTAAACCGCTATAAGAAATCCTTTGTATCTGTGTCATTTAATAAGAGTATATCTTAATTAGCTCTATAAATTTTGTAATTGTTGTATTTTCTATTGTTTTTGTTGCTTGTTTTAGTGAATGTTTGCAGCAACATGGCGATGCCCATAACAAATCTCCTGTCAAGGACAATAAAGTTTTTACTACTACTACTACTACTACTTACTAATGTATAGTAGGGTGCAGAAGTTGGAAATGTGCAGAAGAGAGAATGAGAATATCATGGTTTAATTGTTGAAATGCATAATTCAATTACTATTTTCTTTTACATATGTAAAATATAACACATAGAATTGTATACATTTGATGTAGATAGTTTGATGGGATTATATGCATATATAAGGTATGCAACAATAAGTTTGGTGTGGAGAATACAATATTAGATTATCAGCGGAAAATAATGTATAGTGCAAGTTGATTAAAAAAAGACTGAAAGACAATTGAAGATAGATGATGTAGATGTATGTAGATGTAGATAGATGTAGAAGCCTTCGGCCAGAATGAACACCCGAAAAACACAACAACATGCACAGATGCAGCATATTTTTTTTTTTTTTTTTTTTGTTACAAACTACCATCCAGTGACCCAAAGTGTTACAAACAGTGGTTTAGTCTGGAGTGGCTTGCCTTTAAAATGAACACTTGAAATATTTGATAAAATGATTAAAATAATTTTCTTAATTTGACTTATATAAATCAGCCCCTGCTCCATTTCATCTCATCTTGAACAATGTTCTTCATCCTCATTGATTAATCTGGTCTGCATTTGTTCATTTGTCACCAAGAAACAGTTTTATAAGTCCAGCTTTCAGGTAACTCAGAGTGTCTTTATTGGCTTCTTCGGCTGTTGCTTGTCTCCTCATTTCCTCCAGCTCCTGAGCCCAGTCTTCTTTCCCAGCCTCCCTGACTCTGGGGATGAAGAAGTCCAGATGCTGGAGGGTGAAGGCGGAGTCTGGTTTTAGTGCCACCTGAGACAGATTCTTGATGGTTTTGTAAGCTTTGAACACCATCATTAACTTTTGATCTTCAATCTGCTTCAGGTCTTTGTCAAGATCATCCATTGCAACTGAAAACCTCTTAATCTGAGGGATTTCATAATTTTTATTTAATTCCTTATAATTAGTCACAACGTCTGAAGTGTCAATAACATATTTCTTGTTGTCTTTGACGTGTTTGCTGTAGTGGCACTTCCTTGTGCACACGGTGCAGAAGCCGTCTCTCATGACTTCACAATTTTTGGGACTGGAAACCCACCAACAGTCAAACTCATGGCAGTTTTCCTCACAGACAGTGCAGGTTGTTGCCTTTCTGTTCTTCCATGATGCACTTACAATGGGCACCTTTGTTTTGATAGTCGTTTTGTATCTAATGCTAAAGTTTGTGCTTCTTTCAATTCTATCCTTGTTTTTTCTCATTGCCTCCTGAATCTGAATTTTTTCAGACTTCTTCGACTCTTTTTCTTGAATTCTCAGTTGTAAGTTGCTGATGGAAGCTTCTAGCTGAATGCGTTGAATCAAGACATTTGAAGTCCGCTCTAAACTACATCTGTTCTTTTCTTTCAAAGATTGAAGGAACTGCTTTGTCTCTTCCATACAGTCTTCCCAGGCGTCTCTTTGAGCACGAATGTAGCGCTTCTCATTGTGACGGGCATCAGCTTGACGATTGTTGAATATGAAATGAACAGGTTGGCCACCTCTGTCTCTTCTGCAGGGGATTTTAGCTTTATTAATGGCACTGAGGACATTTTTCGGAGGAAGACCATGAGAGTGTGTGATTAAAAACACAATGTTGTTCACAATGTCTTTCCCAAACAATGACAGAACTGAGCTGATAATGTAGTGTTGTCTGTCTGAGAGACGATTATTAGATGCTTTAATTACAAAACACACAGCATCAACTTCTCGAACTCCATCACTGCTCTGAAACAAAGATGCTAAATTTTCAGCAACTTCCAGATCTTTCTCCAGTCCTCTAGTGTCTCCGTAACCTGGAGTATCAATGATGGTGAGAGAAATGGCACTGTCCTCTGGAAAGACCTCATACATGGTGATTTCAGAGGTTTGGGATTCTGTTTGATCTCCTCCTTCTTCTTCTGTGATTTCATTCCATGTTTCATCTTCAAACTTCACTCCCAGTATGTAGTTCACTAAAGAGTTGATGAGGGTGGTCTTTCCAGCACCGGTCTCTCCCACCAGCAGAATAATTTTGTTTTGTTTACTGGCATCTTTTGTACCATACCTCCATATTCTGACTTTACCATTATCATCAAGTATTTTCCTCTCTGTATGTAGACGGTATCGTCTTGGAGGACCTTGATTAATCTGAGTTGACCTGCATGATGAACATATTAAAACAATATTTTAAGGTAAAACAGGAGAACATGATAGATTAACAGTGTTCTGGATAATAACAAAGGCACTTGAACAAAAAAACTTTATTTCTTCTCACTTAGACATCATTAGTTTACCTCATGACAACCCCACATCACTAGCCTCTGACAGGGCATCACTATTTTCTCACGGCACATCACTAGTCTCTATGAAAACACCACTAGTCTCTAACACAGAGGTTTGAAAATCAAGTCCTAGAGAGCTGCAGCTTTGCACAGTTTTGCTCCAACCCTAATCAAACACAGCTAATCCAACAAGCCAGTGTGTTATAGACAAATAGCCAGGAATTGAGACCTATGCTCTAACAGGACATCATTAGTCTCTCTCAGGACATCACTAGTTCCTCTGGAGACATCATCAACAAAACACCTCATTTTGTCTCTTACTTTGACATCATTAGTTTACCAAATGACAACCCTACTAGTCTCTCACTTGACATAAACAGTCTCTCAGGACATCACCTGTTTATATCGGAATATCACTAGTCCAAAGGGGAACCAATTAATTAGGACCTGAACACCATGTGATAATTACAGGCAGGTGTGTTTGATATGAGTTGCAACTGAAATCTGCAGGAAGGTAGCTCTCCAGGAACAGGGTTGACTACCCCTGCACTAGTCTCTCAAAGGACATCTCTAGTTACCCACCGGACATCACTAGTCTACCACATGACAACCGCACAACACTAGTCTCTCAAAAGGCATCACTATTTTCCCACAACACATCAATAGTCACACAGAAGACATCAATTGTCTCCCACTGGACACCACCAATCTCTGAAAGAACATCACTACTCTCTTACTGGACATAACTAGTCCCTCAGAAAACATATGTAGTCTCTAACAGGTCATCATTAGTCTCTCAGGACATCACTAGTTTCTCTGAAGACTTCATCAACAAATACCTTTTATTTTCTCTTACTTGAACATCATTAGTCTACCACATGGCAACCCCACAGCACTAGTCTCTCAAAGGACATCTCCAATTTCTCTAGTCTTGGAGAAGACATCAATAGTCTCCCACTGGACATCACTAATCTCTGAAAATACATCACTACTCTCTTACTAGACATAACTAGTCTCTCAGAAAATGTCTGTAGTGTCTAACAGGTCATCGTTAGTCTCTCTCAGGACATCACTAGTTTCTCTGAAGACATCATCAACAAAACCCCTTTGTTTTGTCTCTCAGTTGGACATTACTAGTCTACCACATAACAACCTCACAACACTAGTCTTTTAAAGGACATCACTATTTTGTCACAACAAATCTCTAGTCTTGGAAAAGACATCAATAGTCTCCCACTGGACATCACCAATCTCTAAAAGGACATCACTACTCCTTTACTAGACACAACTAGTCTTTCAGAAAACGTCTGTAGTCTCTTAACAGGTCATTGTTAGTCTCACTCAGAATATCACTAGTTATTCTGAAGACATCTTCAACAAACCCTTTATATTGTCTTTCACTTGGGCATCACTAGTCTACCACATGATGACCTGGCAGCACTAGTCCCTCAAAGTACTTTACCAATTTCCCACAACACATTACTAGTCTCGAAGAAGACATTAATAGTCTCCCATGGAATATCACCAAACTCTGAAAGGACATCACTACTCTCTTACTACACATAACTAGTCTCTCAGAAAACATCTGTAGTCTCTAACAGGTCATCATTAGTCCCTCTCAGGACATCACTAGTTTCTCTAAAGACATGATCAACAAACCCCTTCATATTGTCTCTCACTTGGACATCACTAGTCTCCCACAACACATCACTAATATTTTAGAAGACATCACTAGTTTCTCACTGGACATAAATAGTCTCACAGAAGACATCACCGGTCTCTTTCAGGACATCTCTAGTCCTCATCAGGTTATCATTAGTCTCTCACAGAACATTTGTAGTCACCCACTGCAGGTGGCAGATTTAAGCCTCCCCCCAAATCCCCAACTCAGGACATCACTAGTCTACATAACTATTCTCTCAAAAACTTTCAATAGTCTCTAAAAGGACACCACTAGTTTCTCTGAAGACTTCATTAGACTTTCACAGGACTTCATTTGTCTTTTAGACAAACATCACCAATCTTTCACAGGTTTCAGTCGAGAAGAGTGTAGGTTTACAACCCTGACATAATACATTCCAGAATGACAACAAAACCGGTGTGACAACTTTAAACCAACATGAGGAAATGTCAACCCATGTTTTTGTTTGTTTTATTATGATGCCATCTGTCACTACAGATAGGTTTGCATAAGCACAAAACATAACCAGAAAAGCAGAGCGTCTTCAAATAATACATCAACAGGACATTTCTGTGTTATGCTTGTTTCTGCTGCTTATAATATAAACTGAAAAAAAGTGTTGCATGCAAAACTGTTGCAAACAATTTATTTGTGTTGAATTTAAACAAACAAATTAAAATAATTAATGTTTAACTTAATTTGTTTGGTAAAATTCAACACAATTAAATTGTTTACAACCTCTTAACCAAAGAAAAATTTAGTAAATCCAAGGAATCATCTTTGAATAATTTTTTTTTCAGTGTAGTATTACTGTTCTGTCATGGCAAGTATTAAGATTTAAAAAATGACTTTCAGCTGAGTGCATTTAGAATTTTTTAATTGGACCCAGCATTTAAAAAAGAAAAAAAAAAAAAAACATCACTGTATTCAAGTAATTCGTCCAATTGGTCAAGTAAATGTTTCACAATGTCACAAAGATTCATTTGTCCCAAATAAGCAGACAAGCATTATTGTAGAGCACTGTATAACAAATTATCATCCAGTAGAAGAAACATAAGTGCCAACTCACCTGGAACTCATGGTAGCCTGCAAAACCTCAGCAGAAGAACTTGACTGTCTCTCTCCAGTCTGCAAAACAATGCCTTACAGTATTGGTAGCACTGTATTTAAAATAAAGGTCTTTAATTATACATTTACATCATTAATTTGACTATTTTTCTGTTGTTTCTTGAACAAAATCTGTATTGCATAAAGACCTCTAGAAATAAATGTTGACTTGACCAAAAATATTAATCATTGACAAATGAAGTTTTGCTTTTAAATATAAATTCTTACACTCCAGCCTTTGCTCTGTCAAGAGTCCGGTTGAAGAGCAAAATCCACCAAAAGAAATGCTGCTTTAACAAGTCTAACTGGTTGTAGTCCCTCCCAGATCAGACATGTCTTAAAAAAACAAACAGGGTTTTCTAAAGACATGAAGTGAAAGTGAAAGATTTATGGCAGGACAGCACTGAAATGACACAAGCAGCATTTACTAAGGTTTGCGATGGTCAGTGTACTGGTCATTGCAATGTTATTTAATGCCACCCCAAAAATGCATTTTTAAATGTATTCTTCCACCAAAAATGAAAACTCATACAACAATAGCTGTTTCCATTCACCTATTTATATGCACATTTTGCATATGAATCAAAAAGTCATGTGACAGATCATGTGATAATAAAAATACACTCCATGCGAGAACATTTTTGGAATGCTAGCAGACCGACAACATTATAAAATAATAACTGAAATGCTGTTTTCCTCATTGTAGAAGGCTTCAGCTGTTAGTCTGTCATCACAGTGCTTAAGTATTGTTGTTCTTCTAGTATCATTCCCTCCAGAATTGTCTTGAGCATCAGTCTGCGCTATCAAAAAGCATCTTCAAAATCCACTGCATTTACCGTGTTCATTGCGTTTCGTCTTCATCTTCTGAGGCGTTGTCACGATCACCAGTGATCTAGCAAGGTCGCTGCTTCGAGTCCTGACTAGGCAAGTTGGCATTTCTGTGGAAGAAAACTCCATACACACTCATTCACACACACACACACACAAATTTTGAAGTTTTATACTTAATCATTTATATTATTTATTCTCCAACATAAATCTTAACATGCACCGAGTTTAAAATGTTTGCATCCCTGACAATAAAATGGCTGATATCAAAACTTACTAGTGATGAATGAGCTTGAGAATGCACGTCAAGTGTGTTTGTATATTTATTTGTGTGTTGTAACCTAAATGAAGAGAGAGTGGCTGTATATTTACGTCTGTGTGTGTGTGTGTGTTAAAAGTTGTGATGAATTTTGCCATTATTAATTTGAGACGAAGAAGATCTAAACGCAAACCTCTCCAATACTCTTACATTCCAATACTTCAGAGCTCAACTTTATCTGAATCAGTCAAGTGTAAGCTAAGATCACGACATGACCAGAAGAGGGCGCGCAAGACTAATGAACAGAGAGAGAGGAAAATGTTACCTTTCTCTGACCCTCATCTGCTCTTACCTTCCCCTGACCTCTTTTTCTCTGAATGCATACGGCTAGCACTGCTGACCCTGAAGGCCTGAGACTCTCTGTCCATGGGACAGGGAACTCCCTGGCAATAGACCAATGACACTCTCTGGGCATGGAAGCCGGGAGCCTCAGTAGTCGTGGGTACCTCGGCAAGCGCTTTAATGGCTTAAACTGTCTAAATAATGTGCATGTAGTTGTTTGTATGTTGATTTGTGTTCTTAAATACACCTAGGGACAACTATAAATTTGTTTACATAAGACATGAACTATATGTTTTGCTGACTATTAGAATTCTTGACTGAGTGGTCAGACACATTATACCGTTGGTCTTCAGTGATTTATAAATTGTGCTTTGATGTAATAGGTAATGCCCAAATGGTGTATGAGTACTTGTATCCCTGAGCATAATTCAATATGTCAAGTCCTCATTGATGTGTGAGGTGTATCTGTGCATGACCTGATTTTGGAAGTATTATAGTTGGGCCATACTGGGGTGCGTTTTCCAAAACCATCATTAGCCAACTAAGGTCGCAAGTTTCGTCGTTACAAGCATAGTTTGTTGATATGCCGTTTCCCAAATCCATTGCCTCAACAAACATTCGCAAACTGCGTCGCAAACTTGAGCTCTCACAGCTACACCTCTGGAACCCGCTGGTGATCCCCATATGCTTTTCCGCCACGGTTAAGTTCCCCCCCCTGGGTGGACCCGTGCTTTCCCTATCCGCTAACCACCTTGTTATGCGCACTCCCCCTTCTCAGGGTTAGTCCATATGTAATTCCATTTGTTTCCCTATTGGGTGCGGATGGTCTCCGCAGCGTCCTCCCTACTGGGATGGCACGCTTCCCAACGTACTGTTGTATATTCCTAGAATTATCTAGACGCTAGCGACTCCCAAAAAAATATACCTATTCCGTAAAGCTTCTTTTGAAGTGGGATAAGTTAGGGCCAAGGGCACGTTGGAGGACCTCGCCTCTCATGATCTGGGTGCGTCACGCTTGCCTGTCTGCCCTCTCATGGTGGGTGTTGGTAAGGTGTAGTCATTATGGCGCTTTCAATGGGCTCCCATACGTGGATTTAGAACATCAAATCCACTTATAGTGCTGGAGTTCCCCCCGAAGGGGAACGTTCGAGGTTACTAAAGTAACCCTTCGTTCCCCGAGGAGGGGAACGGAAGCACTATACTCTGTCGCCATAATGACTGTCCCTTAGCTGTTAAAAATCTCTTCAGCTTATAAAGGATAGCGTCTGCTGGCGCCAGGTGTGCTTATATGCTCAGTTATTTGGCTATGCAGCACACCTGCGCAGGCTTGCGCTGCCAATTCATTCTTAATTGGCCCGTTCAATACTCTTTCAGATGAGCGGCTTCTGAACCGAATCCTCTTATACGTGGATTTAGAACATCAAATCCACTTATAGTGCTGGAGTTCCTCCCGAAGGGGAACTATGTTTCTAACTACAGTTCCAGAGGTGTAGCTGTGAGAGCTCAAGTTTGCGACGCAGTTTGCGAATGTTTGTTGAAGCAATGGATTTGGGAAACGGCATATCAACAAACTATGCTTGTAACGACGAAACTTGCGACCTTAGTTGGCTAATGATGGTTTTGGAAAACGCACCCCAGTATGGCCCAACTATAATACTTCCAAAATCAGGTCATGCACAGATACACCTCACACATCAATGAGGACTTGACATATTGAATTATGCTTAGTAGAGATGCGCGGTTGGCGGTTATAGCCGCGGACTCCGCGGATAAACCGCGGATCGGGCGGATGACGTTACGAAAAAATAATATTTTAATTAAATTCGGGCGGGTGGCGGGCGGTTGTACTGTTTTTATAGGCATAGCTGGCGCACCAACAAAAAAGCCTAGCTGACTTCACAGAATGGGAGGAGGAATCGGATACACTAATTCTGGATGAAGTACAGAAGTATTCCTCTACAAACTTCCGTATAGACGGATCAGCAGAGGAAAATCTACTTTCCTTTTGGGAGAAATAAGGCCAGTCATTCCCACAACTACAGCACCTTTCAAAGAGAATTCTATGCATTTCAGCAACAAGTGCTGCGAGCGAGCGCTCCTTCAGTGCAGCAGGGCGCATTATAGTGGCTATATGCAGGCGCTCCCGTCTGAATCCTGACACTGTAGATGCTATTTTATTCCTGCATTGTGCCAAGAAAAAAATCAAACTAGACCTAAGGTCAGGCATATTAAACCAATTAGCCTATGTTATTTAGGCTACACATATGTTCAATATAAACTTTTAAGTTCGGTCAGCTCTCAGCTGATAATTTTAGGTTCATATTGGTTTAGCCTATTCTAGACATGTTGGCCTCGCTTTTACGTTCCGAGGCTAAGGTTATTTTGCCAGAATTTCTTTGTCGCAACTGTAATGGCGTAGTATTTCGTTAAGCTTCAAGTGTGAAGGGAATGGGGATGATTCTAAGTCCATGGGTTATTGGGGCACTTGTCATACATGCACTTTAGCCTGGTCAGACTTTATGTTCACTCAAAGAGGGATGGAATATCTATTTTTCTAATTTAATTTCTAATTGTAGGGGTGACTGAGACTACAAGGCTGAGGCACGATATGGCGTTTTTATTAAAAAATTTTTCAACTGTTTGCCAAAGCATGCGACTATAGCCTATGCCTACATTAAGATATTTATGTTAAGATTTTTTTACTGCCTGTTGTTTCTTTTGGCATATAAAATAGGCATTGTCTAATAGGGATATCAATAAAGGTTCATCTGTGTCGCAGAACTGGTGTTGCTTCCGATTTCTACAAGCTCAATAACATCCACAGCAAAAAATAAATAAATAGCCTAAATAAATAAATAGTCGAAAAACTGTGCCCATTAATTAGATGTGCAAGGCAAGCAGTTACGTTTTTGGGGTTGCTATGGACAACTATAAATAAACATTATTAGGCTATAATGTAAATGACTTATTATACTATCTATTTACTAAAAAAATAAAGTGAAATAGGCATTTAGTAGTAGGCTAAATAGCAGCATGTTGAAATGATGTGTCAATGCGTTTTCTATTAGGCTACAATAAAAAACGTTGTACAGTACAGTGCGTTTAATTTAGGCTATTTATTTATTTTTTTCCCTGTGCGACGATTGGAGACAGAGTTCACTGCTGATATTCTGAGAGCTCGGGTGCTTCTCATTTCTTATTTGTGCATCCTCGTTTCCTTTCCTTGCTTTCTTTCCTCGTGTTTCCACCCCACCGGGATACGAGGGAAGGACGCAAGGAAAAGACTCAAGGACTGAGGAATCGAATTAAGTGAAAAGACACGTCCTCGTATCTTTAGCGTCACTTCAAAGCGTCAATTAATGACTTGCACGTTTGGATTAACTGCATGTCTACATTAAAGTCATTCTCTATTCTATAATGATCAATAAAGAAACATTTACTTAATAATAAAAAGGAATAAGCCATTCAAATAAAGAGCCCAATCAGCAGATGGCGGGCGGGTGCGGTTTTAAAAATTGGTCAAAAATGTTAGTGCGGATGGATGGCGGACGGATGATGATTTTTGTCATGCGGTTGCGGATGAAATAATAGCCCATCCGCGCATCTCTAATGCTCAGGGATACAAGTACTCATACACCATTTGGGTATTACCTATTACATCAAAGCACAATTTATAAATCACTGAAGACCAACGGTATAATGTGTCTGACCACTCAGTCAAGAATTCTAATAGTCAGCAAAACATATAGTTCATGTCTTATGTAAACAAATTTATAGTTGTCCCTAGGTGTATTTAAGAACACAAATCAACATACAAACAACTACATGCACATTA